ACTACGACTGTCCCAAAGCCGAGGAGAATCTCGGGGATCGAGCTCGGTCATAGTCAAAAAGTGTGTGTGTGGTGTCCGTAGATTGTAACGGTCGTCGTCAGGGGGTATATGGTGGGTCATGTAGGGTAAAATGTGTGAGTAGGAGTAAGAGGGGGAGGGTGGGATAAGTAATAGGAGAGGTATACATCAACAAGGTGATAGTGTGAGAGAGGGAGGAGGAGAGGGGGTGCTTACACATGGTGTGGGGCGGGCAGCGGCATGTGGGGGGCGTTGTGGGTCATGTAGGGTAAAAGGCGGTAACAGCTAGAAGAACTAAGTGAGGAGATCTAAACAGGAGATCAATAGTAGTAGGTAAATATGTATGAATATGTGCCGTAGAGTTAATCGTGTGTGTGTGTGTGTGTGTGTGTGTGTGTGTGTGTGTGTGTGTGTGTGTGTGTGTGTGTGTGTGTGTGTGTGTGTGTGTGTGTGTGTGTGTGTGTGTGTGTGTGTAGATATATAGTTAAATAAAAGTATGTAGGATATGTTGAGGAGGTCTAGAGGAGGGGCACCCTCCCCCCCCCCCTACCCCTAACCGGGTAGGAGACCGAGCTTTTAAGATGTGTGGTTAGGGGATAGGGGACGTGAAGGCGGAAAGGGAGAGAGGGGGAAGGAAGTGGAGCTGGCGGAAGCTTCGACTATTAGCGCGGGTCTCTCCTTCCCGGTGTCTGTGTTATGTAGTGAAGTCTATATATTTGACCAATTCTCTGCCTGTGGAGTGGGTCTCCAATATCCAGAGTGCTAAGAAGTGGCGGGACATACGCACCACATGGCTGGATCACCTCTTTCAAGGTCTAGGCACAACTGCAGTGAATGAGAACATTAGGCTCTCATATGAGTATGGGAGAGCCTAATGTCCAGCCCACCGCTCCCCTCCATGTCTCCCGTTCCTGGGCGCCCTGGGCGGCTCCCCCACTGTGACGGTCGCCACATAACGGAGGGCGGGTTATGTGTCTGAAAGGTTATGCTGCCCCATTTACCCTCCGTAAGGGGAGGAAGGCAGGGGGAGGGCGTCAACAACACAGAACGCAGAACTTAAACATTATGTCGCGAGCAAATATCCTATTACGGCGGTATTAGAAACACACGAACCAGTGCGGGTGTCGCCTATCAACCTTAAGCTTTTTAAGAGTCTACAGGAGGAGTCCGGGATCTGTTCACCCCGGCAGGGTTGTCCCACCACTGCCATTTACGTTTAAGTAGCTGGCGGTGTTACTGTCAGGAGTGAGCCGCATCTGTCAGTAATCCATCACTTGACCGGGGTCGTTTCCTCCTCCCAGGAACGCGAGGTTAGTTCAGCGCGAGCATTCTTCCCTCACTCATCTCACCACACCGCGCGCGACGTTATGGAAAGACGAACTTTAACAGCTTGCATGAAGTGTAATACACTGTATAAACCGTCACCAAATCAACTCTGCCGTCTAAAATGTGAGAGCTGCGCAAAGCCTCTCCTAGGTCATTACGACATCAAGTGTAAGCGATGTCAGAAGATCTTTTGCGATAACTGTGAGTAATATTCTTATTTATTATTCCATAGTTCATTTATTCCAACCCACAGGTGAAATATAATGTGTAAACTATTCTCTCTTATAGTGTGAGAATATATGCTTACCCAGTCTATTATATTCCACACACTTAAATATGTTTCTTTTTCAATTTCAGTTTACAAAACGGTGAAGTGTCCATTCTGTGCACGGGCACCACCCTCAAACCCTCGACGTGGTCAGCGCCGGAATCATGCAACGAATGGACGTAAGTTCAATATATACTTCTCTTACCTCTATTACATTTTCATCAAACACTTGCAAGCAAACACCTGCATAATAATATTTCCCCCCCATACACCCATGCTGAATATCATTGTTTACATTTCAGGTTACAATTCTTCCGGCAATCGTCGCGGCGCTCAGCCCTCACACCGAGACATAAGTAAGTTAATAATACTGACTTATTTCAGTCTATTTCCTAAGCATATTAATTCCCACCAGACTGTTCCTATATATATGTTTTCATTCTTTCTTTTTAGAGATAATGGTTTTCTTTTTTACAGATTCCACACCAGTGTGCGTAGACTTGGTATCCAGCAGCGATGCGAGTGACAGTGAGACAGACACGGACAACAGCTGCGACAGCAGTGACAGCCTAGCGGAGCAGACATCGCCCTCAGACGACTCGCAGCCCCCAGCTCGCGCGGCGGGAGGGGAGCGTTCTAACCCCCACTCAAGTCCCCATTCCTCTCCCAGTCCTTTACCTCAATCTACCATCAGCAGTGGATGTATTACCAGCTCTACCGTCGCCAGCAGGAGCAGCGAGAGCGCGCGTGAAGGTGAATTAGGATTGCCCAAGTCAGAAATAGTGTCTAAGAATATTAATCAATTAATCGCTCTCAGACCTAAAACATTCTCTTTCACCACTCAAGATGGTGAACACACTTGTAAGCGTAAGGGTGTACCCTACCACCTACAAGAGAAACTCTCGCATGACTCGTTTGAGCACACTCTTGAAACAAACACTTCAATCAGGTTTGTGTCGAGATCTATACGTAATGTACAAGGAATGATCTGTACATGCAGAGGTTTGTCAGCATTTGATGATAAATGCTACAATCTAAGCCCCACACAGTCCCAAGCGTATGGACATCCAGATATCCCCAATAACAATGATGATGATGATATGGATATAGAAGTGGGAGAGGAGGAGATAGGAGGGATAGAAGAAGTGTTTATGGAGAATGGTGAAGTGGATCAACCACAGAGACTCTTCCCTGTATTCCGCCCCTGGTGCAAGTGAGACTAGAACTATTAATACTAAGTGAATAGGATGTTTAATATTATTTTTGTTTGTGAACTTTGTTAACTGTAGAACTATGATTAGTTTTAATGCTGCAGCTGTACATATATTATGTGAATAAACACCTGTAAATGACTAATGTTTGTATAAATACCGCCACATTTCCATAGTTTTAGCAGTCTTGACGAAGCATTAATCATGGACAGTTCCTATGATATAATTCATGAGGAACATCTAAATATATTCAGAGAACCATCTCATGTTATTATAGCTGGTTATTCTAATAGCAGAAAATCCTACTTGTGCAGTAAACTTGTCAGAAAGTATCAGCACAAGTTCTCCACAATACCTGCTTGATGGGGTTCTGGGAGTTCTTCTACTCCCCAAGCCCGGCCCGAGGCCAGGCTTGACTTGTGAGAGTTTGGTCCACCAGGCTGTTGCTTGGAGCGGCCCGCAGGCCCACATGCCCACCACAGCCCGGTTGGTCCGGCACTCCTTGGAGGAATAAATCTAGTTTCCTCTTGAAGATGTCAATAATTACATGCGGAGGAGGTTACTCTGAATTACGGTCAGATCTTTCGAGCATTCAAACATTATTGATCCTGTGGAAGAGTCAGTGGATAATGAGTCACATCTTAGTGATCTATAATGACCTTTTTACAGAGTCTGCGAATTCGAAAATTCGAAAAAGTACTTGAGACAGACAAGTACTTTTTTTTTATTTCATCTATTATGAAAATGACAGTTAAGGCGAGAAAAGAGAATCCTAATTCTTAAAGCAGATATAAGAGGTACTGTCTATATGCTGGTTGGAATGGTTATGTTACGTAATTACAAAAATAAATCTATCACTTGGCAAGTTATAATCTTCATAATCTAGTTACAAAAGTTTAACGGTTATATAATAATAATAATAATAATAATAATAATAATAATAATAATAATAATAATAATAATAATATTTTATTTACAAGACGGTACAATGGGTTGGTGAGATTACATTATCATATATATATATATATATATATATATATATATATATATATATATATATATATATATATATATATATATATATATATATATATATATATATATATGATATGTAATAATAATAATCTTCAGTTTTGTACAGCATAATGGGTCCAAGAGGAGGCTACAAAGTTAAGGGGTTTATTTTTTTTTTTATTAACAAGCTTAGGTATTCACAGCAATGTGCTGTTACCCTATTCTATATGAAAGATTACACAGTGTAGATCAAAAACTAGCTATAAGTTCATCTAATATCCCCATCTCTCAGGATGGTTAGTCATAAATAAAATACCAGTCTTAATACAAAAAGAAACCAATTTTGACTAAACAACTAGCTATAAGTTCAGCTAATATTCCCATCTCACAGGATGGTATAGTCATACAGGGGAGAAAATATACCAGCCTCAATACAAAAACAAATCAACTCTGACTAAAAATCAGGTGAGAAAATAAAATGTAAGGCTGATCTATTAGCTCCCACTAGCAAAATCTGGTTACATCATAATAATACCTTCCAATATTCCTGAGTGTATGGAGTAATTACAGAGCTCAAAGTACCTCATGGAGTAATTACAGAGCTCAAAGTACCTCATACCATTTGGTCTGAAGTCAATGATAACAGGGCAATCACAGGTATAGTGTTGGAGAGTATGTCCCAGCTCTTGTTCACATAGTTTAGTTTAGTTTACAACATAGTTTATTGTAAATTGTAAACAACTGTTTACAACAACTGTAAACATAGTTTACAATTGGAATGTTCACCATTGGGGAATAGATTCATAACCTACAGCCACCTGCCATAGATATCGCTATCCCAGCCTAAATCTGGCAATTACAACGTCACACACTTATCTAATAGATGATTTATATTACCCCGTACATATATAAATCCCGGTTCTAAACATGTCCTAGACCTTTATACACATTAGTTAGTTTACTTCATTTATTATGCCCCCCATACCCATCTTGTGAGCGGTAGTGGCAAAGAGTTACAGAGACACATAATGGAATCGGGGACTGAACCCTCACAAAATTCATTTAGCTAACCAAGTTACAATCTTGATAAGCTAGTTAGAAAACACATATTTTCTGTATTTAGTAGTTTAATCTTGGCGGGGGAGGCGGCGGCGGCGGCCCACAGATGGCGTCAGCAGCTGTCAGTGACGTCACCAGCCAGGGCTGTGTGTATGTGTGGAGGCTCAACATATCCTCCAATATTCCCCTTAAATGGAGACTCTCTGACGATAACTGTGACCCCGCAGGTAACCAGCACATGTGGCTAAGTACTCCATGGTTGGGGGGAATGATAGTCACGCCATTTAGCCATTTAAGTGGTTGAAATAAGGAGCGTTTGGTGGGGAGGGGGAGTATATTTGGGGGAGATGAATCACTGGGGAGTGAGTTGAGAGAGAGGCAGACCCCAGGGGGATAGTTTATATGTGAACTAGGGATTTGATGCTTAGGATTTGGCTGTCAGGGTGTAGGTGAGGGAGAGAGGGGTGTGAGGGAGAGGGAAGGAGGGTGATAGAGGTGTGAGGAGGAGCCACAAATGGCTCTGGTGATGGGGCGGCGGCGTCCACCTCCTCCCTCTTGTCTCCTTTTTTTTAGACAAATTAAGCTCAAATTAGCAATGGGGATTGGCAGGTGTTCACCATGAGTTAACACCTGCATCCTCGTAATGACAGGTGTTGAGAGGAGTGAGAGTTGGGAGTGTGGCAGAGCTATTGCTATGTGTAAGGGTGCCAGTTGGTCTTTAAGTAATTTACCTGAATTTACCTGAGGGGCCACTAATTATACTAGTGGGCACGACGAGGACAGGAAGCCGGCGGCTCCTCAAAGGTCCCTCCTCACTTCCCCATCATTGAAGGGTACAGGCTAAAGCATGTGTCGGCATTGTGGCAAAGATTGTTATCTAATTGTAAAAACCCGCATATTTTATTAGGCTGTGTTAGGGGGGAATACAGGTAACGTCGTACGCCATTCAGTTCGCAAATGGGCTTTAAAACCTATACGATCTTGCCCAGCTCCACCTAACCGAAACCAAACTAACCAAGCCTAACATGGCCTAACCTAACAACATATACGATCCTAATAATCTGAAAACGAGCTTCGTTGAATTCTATCTGGCTTCGTAAGCTTGGCTTTGGTTGGATGAGGTTAGACTTTAAAACGCTTTTTCAGTCTGTCTTAAGTGCGATGTAATTTGTATGCAAGTGCACTTTATAAGTGAATTGATATAACCAAGAATTATGTGACCAGCATTATTGATTGCATAACCAGCTCAAGTGTTTTATTTTATCAAGAGTAAAGTTGCAGCATTCTGGCAATTTGTAGGGTCCCGGTAGACAGGATAGGCGGGTTCATTCTCGACGCACAATCGAGAATCCCGGGCGGGACAGAAATGGTTGGGCACATTTCCTTTCCCCTAATGCCTCTGTTCACCTACCAGTAAGTAGGTACTCAGGAGTTAGCTTGTTGTGGGGATTGCATCCTGGGCGGGGTCAGTAATTCGAGCCTGGAGAGAATCCTGGATAAAAGCCTGAAGTGTGTCAATAGATTCTGGCTTCCTGTCTTCCGACACGGTGAATTATTATAAAACCATTATCAGAAGCCTCAAAATCTGGTGCCAACAATTATAGTGAAGATGGGGAAAACTACGAGTGTAGGCCAAGGACTGGGCCACAGAGTCATTAAGCCCCAAAATCATCGCAAGGTAACCACAAGGTAGAGCTCACATCCTCAACACAAGTTCAGTGCTCACCCATTCATTCAATCAGCTGCACCCTTTCACTATTTCATTCGACCTCAGTTCATTTAGCACCCATTTGTTACCTAGCAGTAAATAGGTACCTGGGTGTTAGTCAGCTGTCACGGGCTGCTTCCTGGGGGTGGAGGCCTGGTCGAGGACCGGGCCGCGGGGACACTAAAGCCCCGAAATCATCTCAAGATAACCAAGATAACCTCAAGATAACCACCAACAAATGCACACTTTCTGACTATACATCCGTAATGCCTACACCTACAATGACACCAGAATATTGTTTGTGGGAATATTACATTGTTTGACAATATTTTACTTAATTCTTGTTATACCCAAGATCTTTGTTATGAACAAACTCTAAAAGTTTATATAATAAAATAATTCATTGTCAGGGGACAGGAAGCCAAAGTGTATTCATACACAGGCTTTTATTGAGGTTCCCCCCCCCCCCCCCCCAGGCCAAATTACTGACCTCGCCCAGGATGCAACTCCACAACAAGTTGACTACTGAGCACCTACTCACTGCTAGGTGAATAGAGGCATTAGGTGAAAGGAAATGTGCCCAACCATTTCTTTCCTGCCCGGGATTTGAACCCAGAATTCTTGATTGTGAGTCGAGAACGAACCCGACTACTGCCGAGGACCCCCCTGTTATATAGCAGTAACTGTGTGGGAAATAGGCAAAATACCCATGTGTCCACGATTGTTCAACATCCTCCTAGCGAGTATAAGAAATATTGCCAGAACAACCGTGGACATCTTCAAGAGAAAACTAGATAATTTTCTTCAAGAAGTGCTGGACCAACTGGGCTGTGGTGGATATGTGGGTGTGCGGGCTGTTCCAAGCAACAGCCTGTTGGACCAAGCTCTCACAAGTCACACCTGGCCTTGGCCTTTGGGAGTAGAACAACTCCCAGAACCCCGTCAAGTAGGTGTCTGTTTACTGCTATTTTTTGGTTGATATCTTAGTAAGTATTGTATGTACAACATTTGCTCAGGTGTAATTTTATAGAACGTCGCCTTTAGATTCAAAATACTGCACTGTGCAAGTTTTCGATTAAACTTAATACAGTATTGTCTAATTATTTTTTACCCCACTGAGAATGTCAATAACTTTCTGAAGTTGTCGGGAAACTGCAAATTTATTCTATAGCTGGGCACAAAAGTTGATTTATATATTACGTTGAATATTTTTTACTGTATTTGAAATTGAAATAAGTTTATTGAGGTAAAATACACTCAAAGGGATGAGGTAGCTCAAGCTATTCTCACCCCATTCAGTACATCGTGTTAATACTGTACATACATATACACACATCACAAACAATAAACATATTACCAAACATTCTGAGAGATAAACATATACATTTCCTCCTTTACACAAGTATTACTGTATTTCGAATGAACATATTTTTCTTTGTGCCATTCTAGGTAAATTTGGTAATCTATATTTGAACGGTCATCAGTAACCAGAAGTCATCACTGAAAAATGCCTATAGCACCTGGATTAGTTGCTAGGTAACAAAAAAAATCCAAATCCAAGAAACTGTGTATTCAAAATCTAAGATTCTGTGAACAGTCTATGAAAATCCTAAGAAAGGTAAGGTAATTACCAGGGGAAAGCACTAAGCCATTAAGAATAAGACTAATGGCATATAGTCTTAATCTATATATGTAGGCATGTAGTCATATATTAGGGGCGCCAGGTGACTGAGTGGACAGCACGCTAGATATATAGTCTTGTGGTCCAGGGTTCGATTTGCGGCGCCGGCGGAAACGAAAATGGGCAGAATTTCTTTCACCTTGATGACCTTGTTACCTAGCAGTAAATAGGTACCTGGGAGTTAGTTATAACTGTTACGGGCTGCTTCCTGGGGGGGAGGGGGAAGAGGAGGTGGAAAAAAAAATTGATTGACAGTTGAAAGGTGGGACGAAACCCTCAACCCTCGCAAGCACAACTAGGTGAATACTATATAGGACTTGAAAAATATAAGGATTTAGAATAGGAAGAAGGAAAGGAATGGTGCCCAATTATTGGATGGTTGGAGATTGAACGCCGACCTTCAAGAAGGGAGACAGTCGCTCTACCATCCAGTCCAAGTGGTTGGTATATAATAAATGTCTGAAGGCTAGCACTAAAATATATCGAGCTGTTTCGGGTCACCATAGGCCAAAACCATGTACTGTATCTCTAAATCAATTGAAAATGCCACCAAATATGTCATGCTACCATGCATAATATAAAATCTTATGACTTAAACTGCTTGGTGTACAATATTACATCTTTTGGTTGAAGTACCCTGACTGAGATGCACATTATTATGTACAGCAGCTAAACATATCGCTGTACTATGGGGACACCCTTCTGCCTCAGTTGTCCATTGATTGTATCGAATATCAGCGTTTCCATTCATAGGAGAACCAATGTTGTCCTGCATAACTTACACCATTTGCAACAATATACATCCTTGTCATTGTTATACATAGAAACCACCAAGAAGCCACTGTCTTGACCCAAATGATAGGAAGCAAAACCAAAGTCTCTGTACAACATTCAGGTCTACAGAAGGGCAGGCCAAACCCAAAGCAAGAAGGTAGGATGGGTTTGTGAGATTACATACTATTGATATTTTTACATTTTTGTAAGGTGAGTAACATGCGCTGCATTTCGGGCAGGTCCTTTATCTAACATCAGGTAAGGTGAAAAGGTACATTGCAAAACATTACCAAGGCACAAGGTAGGAAACTAAGAGGATGTAATTACATGTAAGTCCTTTTTGGTTTTACTTTTGAATAAGGCATTGGTTGGACAATTTTTTAATTCATTAGGGAGTGAGTTCCATAGACTAGGTCCTTTTATTCGCATGGAGTGTTTGCACTGATTTAGTTTGACTAAATCACATGTTAATTAAAATGGGCACACTTAAACAAGCCCATTTACGACCTGGGAAATCCACATAACAGACTGAGGAGAACACAACCTCTCTGAAGCTTGTGTGAAATGCCGAGCCTACTGAAGCTAATGAACATTTGGGGCCGTCACCTGGAGCAGTAACAGAATGAGCAGAGAAACCCATCTAAAAAGTTTTCCCAGTACCTGTACCATTCCTACCCTTAATTTTCCTATATTCTGTAGACAAATTTTAGTGAGTGAAATATAAATTTAATTGTCGTATGATTGGTAGATTGATATCTACCATGAGAACCTGGCTTGAGAGAGATTTCACCAGTCATTTGAATTAACTCCCAGGGCCCTAAACGGTTACAAAGGTAGTGCCATAACCCCGTAACGGTACAATTGAACCAGGTCCAGCTACTGTACTTTCTAAAGCCCAAAGCCCTTTCTTTTACTCACATTTTCCGCGAAGCCATTATGAGAAGCCATTCCAATTGATATTTTAGGAGATATGGTTTCATATCCATTATTATAACAACATTTTAGCACCTTCACTGTATGATAAAAAGAAGCACAAGACTATCATACATTTGTAAAAAATATGATCTGCTGAAAATTATTTAACAATCTAGATTTCACAATAACATCCTTTGGCATTCTGATTTTAATGGAAAAATCTGATATTTTGAAGGGCAAACTGTTGGGCAAATGTGTTCAGATTTGAGAAATGTGTTTTCTGAAGTTCTGTATTTTGGATGGTCCACTGTACAGGCTCTACCTTGTGGTTACCTTGTGATGATTTTGGGGCTCAACATCCCCACGGTCCAGTCCCTGACCAGGCCTCCTGGTTGCTGGACTGGTCAACCAAACTGTTAAACGCAGCTGCTCGCAGCCTGACGTATGAATCGCAGCTTGGTTGATCAGGTATTCTTTGGAGGTGTTTATCGAGTTCTCTCGTGAACACTGTGAGGGGTCAGCCAGTTATGCCCCTAATGTGTAGTGGAAGCGTGTTGAACGGTCTCGGGCCTCTGATGTTGATGTTCAGTACTGTACTAGGTATCAATTTCGTCTTTTTTTAATGGGAACTATTTTTTTATCAATCGCAGGGAAGGAAGAATTGCCAATAAGGTGATACTGTATATTGTTTTAGATTATAAAATATTGTTAAACTAACATGCCTCTGTAAATCTTTGTTTGATTTTACTAATTTAATGTTGTAAATTATGTGAGCCACTTTAAATTATGCTGGACCTTGCTAAAGTGCTCCTTTGTTTATCTTCTTAGAGACTTGACAAACGAAAGAAAAACATTGTAGTGACAGCAGCGTCAAGGGAACTATGCCAAGAATGTTAGTGGCAGTCAAGAATGACTCTGATGTTCTAATTTAAACCTGAGGTAGTCTGTATCTAGGAAGCAACGGTTTATAAAACTCTTCTTCCTTTCTAGGATAATTGTTGTAAATTAAGAGTTGGCAATTTGCTTTGCGTTTAATATATACAGTATTGTAACAAAGAAAAGTCTCTAGTACTGTACTTGATTTATGCAGTTAAGAGAGATTTATGCTGTGAAGCAAATATTTGTAGGCTGATATTTGGTGTGATAGCTTCACCAGCCATAATTTCTAAAATGCATCCAGGAAAAAAAATTTATTTGTACATTTATTTTACATTTGCCAGAACATTTTATAATGAGCAAAGCTAGTTAATACAGAATACTTGTTTGCACATGTACATGCGTACATATACATTTGGATCTTTTTAAACTTATTCAGTATTTATAATTTTGGACACTCTTGTTTCAGACATTCCCTGAAGGAGTACTGGGGCACTACATGCATTTGTCACATGCCACACAATAAAAACTGGCTGGCAGCTGTTTGAGACTCGGCAACTATTTTTAAGTAGGCTAAGGGAAAGACCGTATTCACACACCTCTCGAATCGTGTAAGGTGCTAAGTGAAAGGTCATGGGACACCGGCATTCGATGATGCTGGTGGAGTCGGCTACAAGATGATGACGTGTAGCTGCAAACTCTGAGCGGGGGAAGTGAACGCAAGCCGAGAGAGGAGCCAAAAGACGGAAGGAAAGGGTAGGGGGTAGGAGAAAATATTTATTGTTTTGAATGACTGCATAAACCGCCAAATTGAGTACATTCGGGCATCCTCTCCTTCCCCTCAACATGTCTGATGATGAGGATAAGCCACCAGCACCACCTGTCAGACTAACTTCCACAAGGTATGCGAAGAGTTTTGAATTATATTTTTTATTGTGTTTAATATTTCTAGTGTACTGTATATATATCAACTTTTGATGCATCATAAAATGTTTATTTTTTACATTTTTGCATAAAGTTTGTCACCCCTTGTTACACCACAAATATTTTGTCTAGTGGTCAAGAGTTTGTATTTTGAGCACTTCACTCCATAATTGTCAGTTTTTGTTGTTGTTCGGCATTAACCCTTGCACTGCGCCAGCCGACTTATGAAGGGGGTGTGTTGGTGCGCCAGCCGACATATGTTAGTATATCATAAGATTCGAAACTCCCATGCATACAAGGGGGCGCACATTTGTTTCTTCAGGCCTCCAGTAACCATCCTCAACCTTGAAAAAAGACATCCTGAGGTGCTCACTTTCTTTCTATGGGCTTAGTAATGTGGCCTAGGTTCCTAAGGCCATGGCTTTAGAAACGATCACCATCACCTTGGAACCAGCTTATGTATGACATGATGCAGGGAGTAAAAACCCCAGGGAGTAATGTGCTGGTTAGCAACATGGAGACAACTAATTAGCACTCTGGAAGCTACATTTACTGACTGTGCTACCTCCTGTCACCTGGTGGTGGTAAATCTGACTTTAATTTAGGGCTTGGGTCTAGCTGTTACCATGTTCACCAGGACGGTTGTAATGGTGGCACTCTGGCACTCTTCCCCGGGGCTGTGATCCAGATATACAGTACAGTACTAAGATTGCACATCAGTGACCCACTGCCTCAACTGAGGGGGTTGCAATCACTCCTTTTTTTTCTGAGGATGGACTCTATGCACTATGTCTCTCTTTCTGACTTTTCTGGGTTGTTATGGATATGTGGGTTTGCCGGTCACACCAAGCAATAGCCTGTTGGACCAAGTTATCACAAATCAAGCCTAGGGAGTAGAACTCCTGAAACCCTCTTAGGGAAATTCAAGGTAATTTGCCTGGTGATTCATCATGCAATTTGTCCTGTTGCCACTGTGGTGGTAATTGTGTGCTGATCACTCTTCCCGAGCCTGTGGCTGTCTTCGTAAATCCCATTTTCATGGTACATTGTACCAAGGCTAGGCTTTATTAGCTGATCTGTCAGCAGGTTTGGTTTGGCAAACCTGATATGCATCGAGATTTGCACATCACTATATGCTATCACTGCATTCTTGACTAATAAATACTCTTATCTCTATGGCTCATATTTAGGCTTAGGGTTTTTGGTGGTCTAACTGCCATTGGTGATTCATTATCTATTGAATGGTCTTTGTCCTTGCCAAACCAGTGGGGGTGCATGGGCACCTTTCCAGTTTGAATACATTCTTCTCTGAGCCCTGATCTCCAGCCTTTTCCCATGGGTAAGTGTGTCTATGAGGAAAGGACTGGAAAGTCTAGCATTGACATTATCCTGGTGGTTCAGTTGATTTGTGCCTCTGGAAGTATCCAATGGAAGGCTCATAATGGTGTTTCACTATGCTCAACACCCTATTTTAGTAGCATATTAACTGTACTTAATTGTACACTATTGAAGTATATAAAGTACTGTATCAGCAAGTGTGTTATGCTTATTGTTTAAATTTTGTCAATGTGCTCCAGCCATTTGTGGCTCCGTCATCAATTTTTTCCTTCCCAGGGCAGAACCAGTGATGGCAGTAGACATGCGGCCATTACCGAAGGAACCAGAGTCAGAAAAGAAAAAGCATAAAGGGCATAAAGGGGGCAAGAGGCATAAGGACAGCGACAAACCAAATATTTCCTATCCAACCAACTTTGAACATACAATTCATGTGGGGTTTGATGCCTGCACAGGGGAGTTTACGGTGAGTAGTATTTGATGTGATTTTCCGTCAGTGTGTGTTGGTGAGCAAGAGGGACAGTGTGAGGGTTCATGACTAGTTGGTGTGTAGTGAAGTCACAAGGCTAACTGCTTTATAAAAAAGAAACGTAAATTACCTTGTCAAAATATTCTTGATACAAAATTAGTAGCCGAAAATATATTATTTTATTGGCCAGGCGTGCTGTCATCCACACAACAGATAAAGATCATTAGGTCACAGGTGATTACCAATAACTGACATGTTACCTCTAGTTAGAGAGTAGAACGAGTCATTCAAATCATCTAAAGACATTGTTGTCATTTAACATGCTGTTACTGTTTCACATTTGTTCCTAGACTTTTGCCATGAAACTTTTTCTATCCTATATCGATCTTCTCTTTACCCTGTGTTTGGTGTTTTGCTTAACACTAGCATCATCCAGAAATTTTACTCATTTTGATATTGTCATTGACTTAATTTATCTTAACCTGAATTTTATGGCCTATTGACGTTCAAATCGTGCGTTTTGTGAGCAAGTGTAGCCAAGCACACCGTATGGTTGGCAGGCTTCACTTCCAAGTAGTACCATGCAAAAGTGTGATAAATGATGCCACCTGCACCTCCTTGCATGTTTGTGGTGATATTTTGTGGCCATTATATAATACTGTACCATCATGGAGCAGAAAATGGAAAAAAAAGAGCAGTCAATAATAAAAAGTTAAATTCTGCAGCATACTGGTACTGTGAAAATTCACAGAAAATATTTTTTTCTGAGCTATTGCTTTTGGTTGTTCCATAGGGTAAGATTATGGCCTCTGGACATGGATAATGAACAGTCAGTTTACACTACAGGCACCGATGCCATAGGAAACTTAAAAATGGCCCCTGCATGGTCATTATGGCCCCTGCATGGTCATTATGGACCCTAGGGATGTCATAGAAATTAGTTTGATTCAACTAGATATGACTAACAGGTTTATTCCATAAAAAAATCTAGATATACAGTAGTTCTCACTTATGATAACCGTACGAGGTCTCCACCTAACAGTGTACTACCTGCTTAGACACCTAATATCTCTGGCTGCCACAATGACATGAGTGTCATTGGGTGTCAATGAGCAGTGTCACTGCTATGATACAATACCAAGACCCATCTGCTCTTCAAATTCTTCCTGACTGTGTACATGGTAAGGTTCACAAGCTGGGAGCTTGTAGATAAGCGTGTGTGTGTGTGTGTGTGTGTGTAAAGGCAAGTCTTTGTGTTATTATACCTTGGCCAATGGCTGAGTCCTTGAAGCATCCTCATTTCTTTTGGACTTTTCACAGTGTTCTGGTGCATGACCCATGACATGGGTGTTTACAGTTGTGTATCGAGTCTTTCCAGATATTTTTGTCTTGTTGAAATGAAAAACTATTTGGTACCACCGGGTCTCCTTCACTCCTGGCTTACCTTCTTTTTCCTTTGTTGGTGGTAGATAAGGTTATGAGCAAGTCTAAATGCTTGCACCATGGCTGCCAGGTTGTGCCTTAAATCTTTGCATTGGAGGCAGTGTATCTGGTGATCTATTTTAAGGTCTGTGAACCTCAAGGCAGTTTTCCAGCCGTAATGTTGGACATAATGACCCCCAACAATATGTCAAGCGGTAATACTATTTGGTGAACTGTGTCAGGATTTCAGATGCTTTTTTTTTTGTGTTTTGTTTTTGTTTTAACCCAAATGACCATCAGTGAAACTTACTTTCTGCATTTTTCCTGCTGAGCACATGGTCATTTTCACCCTAGGGTCTGCAACATGACATGTTTGGGAGGACGCTTTGTTCGAGCCCTCGTCTTGGAGAACAGCTTAGGGTAAAGTTTCCGGTCATCGTGCACTTAGTTACTTTTTATGTGTTTGTAAGCTCATTAAACATACTTTAAATAACTATTTGGAAAACACTAAGGTATGGATAGAAAGTGGCGATGTTTATCTAAAAAAAAATATAACCATAATCTTGTCTGTAGATGCAATACTTACTGTGATATTAACAAAAATGAGGGTGGTCAACCCTTTGGTGTGTGTGCGCCAAGTGGCCGACCACCTCAGTTACACTACTAATCTACCAGGTAAGTATATCAACCATTTCTGAACTGTGTTACCATTTAGTAAGTTTCCTTAGGCAAGGTCCTGCTCTTTCTATGGACAAGGCTAAATGCATTTAGGGCAGGTAGACCTTTTCCTGGGGCAAGGGAGCCACGGTGTTACACTGGGAAAAGGGATCCACAATGTTACCCTGGGACAAAAGAGCCACAGTGTTACACTGGGACAAGGTAGATACAATGTTACACTGGGACAAGGGAGCCACAGTGTTACACTGGGACAAGGGAGACTGGAGAAGACTGTGCTCATCAAAATGGTCTTCAGAAGGCTCATTCATCTACATTCATTCTGCTTCCTGGGGGTGGAGGCCTGGTCGAGGACCGGGCCGCGGGGACACTAAAGGCCCGAAATCATCTCAAGATAACCTCAAGATCAAGAAGACATTGCCGAGGAGGACTCTGGTAATTACTAGCTGGCCTGTTTGGTTGCTATGCCCCCCCCCCCCTCTCAATTGCCACCAGATGTCACCATCAACCTTCATGTTAACAAGGTAGCCAGGTTCTGCCTCTTTAATATCTCTCTCTTACTTTCATTATTCACATTAGGATGACAAAGATATACATATTTTAGTTAAGTGAACATTTAGTATTCTTAGATACTGTGTATTGATTTTTTGCATTGTGCTATTATTATTATTATTATTATTTTTTGCACCTGACACCCACATTTGCATTCAGCATTCGTACTGTTGGGTAAAGCGTTGTTCACTACCCGAGATGTGGGTAGTGATTCTGCTGGAATCTTGGACTTGCTGTCTGCAAGTCCAAGATTCCAGATTCTGCTGCAATCTTGGACACTGCTGCTAATGCGAGTGCTGAAATTTTGGCACTGGAAGTTTCAGTGTTTCAGGACTTTTGTAACCTGGCAAAGATGGTTAACTTTCAGGGTTGTCATCTCTGGTGCTTTTCCTTGCGGCTCTGGCTTGAGGCTGGCCCTTTGTACTGGACACCCTTGGGCATGGGGGGCCCTGACAGCTGAGTGGACAACACTCAGGATTCATAATCCTAAAGTTCCAGGTTCAATCCCTGGTGGAGGCGGAAACAAATGGGCAGTTTTTTTTCACCCTGATGCGCCTGTTCACCTAGCAGTAAATAGGTACCGGGAAATTATACAGCTGTTATGGGCTGCTTCCTGGAGGGTGTGTAACAAAAAGGAGGCCTGGTCAAGGACCGGGCCGCGGGAACGCTAAGCTCCGAGATCATCTCAAGATAACCTCAAGATGTACCTTGGGATGCTAATAGCATGTCCTTGGTCCTGGAGAGAGAGTATCCTGAATTCCTGTGTGTGTGTGCCCTGGATCCCAGAATGATTAATTTTGCACAATTTGTTTTCACACATCAAAGGTATTTAAGCTCATAAACCATTTTACCATTCCTCCATTACCATAATTTCATGGAACTTTCCTCAGAACCACCATTACTTTTATTCACATTCACCACTAATAACCTCTTGTACCAACTTTTAACTAATCTATACTGTAATATGTCTACCTACTACTGCTAGAGGTGCTGCGTGCATCCAATTTTATGCACTGTACACCTTTATTCCTGTTATGCACCAAGTTCATACCCTTCTCAAAATGGGTCCTATAGCACAGTGGTCTACATCCTTGTCTCACAACCAAGAAACCCCGGGTTCACTTCCTGTGTTGGGCATGTTTACCGTCACCTGATGCCTTTGTTTGGCTAGCAGTAAGTAGGTATCTGGGAATTAATCAGTGGTTATGGAGGAGGTTGTGAGAGGGGGTGGAGAGAGGAGAATGGATGAGAGGGGCAGAAGGGAAATGAGAGGGGGATGGGGGAAGGGAGATGGGAGGAGGTATGGGGGAAGAGAAATGGGAGGGGGGATGAGGGAAGGGAGATAAGAGAGGCGTAGGAAATCACAGTGCAGCTGCATACCCCCCTCCCCTTCCCATCTAGTTCATCTATAATTTTTGTACTCTCTAAAGAATAATCACAGGTCTCTTGTACTCATGTATGGTGCAGTGTTGTCTTTTTTGCATTGGCTCCAAAATTTCCACATCCATTTCTTTAATTTTTAGCTGCCTTGCTCAGTTGTTTTCCAGTACAAGATCTTACTAACACCGATTTAGTATCATGCTCTGTCAGGGAATGCCAATATTTGGCATGTGTGTGTGCAGTAGAAAAGTTTTCAAAATGTCTTTGCTGTATCATATTGGTGGTTTGGAGGCGCTAGAAAATAATACTCGATCCTCTCCAGAATGACATCAGAAAGCATTATCGTGTACAAGTCGATCCCTTGTCAAGTGTTTTTGGCATTGTGAAACTTGCCAGTAAACGGTGAATAACCCTCGTATTGCTGGTGATAGTTCTGTTCACTGATGGTGAGGGAGATGATAGCCACTGCATGGCTAGCAGTAGTGGTGATGCTACGTCACCAACCTTCCCAAGGCTCATGCGGCATCTCTTGAAAGATGGATTAAGACATTCCTACTCCTCCAAATTCAGGCGTGTAGCTGTGGTGTCCATGGATATTGTGCTAGAGGGCATGCTGGTTCTCACTGTTGTGGTGTGCTTGCTGCAACAGCTGTTGCCAATGACGCTCGAGTATAGGTTACTGATGAAAATTCTGTACCAAGTTTTCCTCAGTTTGTTGATACAGATTCATTACCTTTGGCAATACGTAATTGGGTCAGTGAGCTTCATGCTCTGCTCTGTTTCCTGGAATTATTTATTCTGGTCATCAGGGTGCTTTTGTGCATTTTCATTCCAATCCATCTGTCAGAACTTAGACTTGAACATTATGAATGAGCCAATTGTGGTTCAGGCTTGTTTTGTCCTTCTCATCATGCCGTGTGCCTGGTGGTGGTTGCTTTTCTTACTGCATTGCCTGTTGGATTTTGTTCACCAATCCTCTTGCCATTTTATCATGCACTAAGGGGACTGTTGCCCAGCTGTTTCCACAGCATAGCCAAGCTGAATTAGTCAAAGGTTTAAAGTAGGGTCTACGATCTGAAGTGTGAGAAACAGAAGTCGTTCTTCTCGAAAGTGTCTTGTGCCGATGTCAAAGCTTGAGGGTTTTGGACATTAACGCATATATAAATGCAATATCTGACTTCATTGTGGGCTGGATTCGGTATTTCTCCAGTCTTCTTAACACCAGTATGCACTAGCAGGGTACAGATTTAAGTTACTGCGCCAATACAGAATGTTAACCTACCCTGACTGAAACAGCTACTAACAAGAAGTCAATAGAATCTTTGTCATAGTGCAGAACCAAGTGTACTGGCTCAGAAAAGTGCTCTTCATAAATAATCAAAGCCTGATTTTGGTGCTGGCTGTAATTATTTCTGCATATACTGGTACTTCGTATACACCTAGAGCTTCCTCACATTGAAATTTGTTCACTGGTCTTCTTAGTGTCTCTTCTGTAGATATATTTTGTGGTGTTCTGTCTTGCACTCTTCCTCCACCAACTAAACTAATCATCCTCACAGTTTCACTTCTTGAATTAGTTTCACCCATCAAACTTTCAGACGTATTCTTAACCTAATTGTAATTTTTTCTTCAATGCTTAACATCAATTCTTCTATTAGGTATGATTTTAATTATGGTGGAATGGGTTTGCTCAATTAAGATAAGTTGGCAATTTAAAAGTAAGATTTTAACTAGTTGAATCAGAGCTGCTTTGGAAAGTAGGAGAGTGAAACAAACAGTGATGAAAGTTGGTAAAAGGGAAGTAATGAAACATAACATGGCAGTAACAATTGAACAGGAATTGAGTTTGATATTTGGCAGGCCACAAGCTGTTGCAGTTCTGAATGTTACAATACAAGAATGATCAGGTTGAGATAGATTGGGATTTTATTTGTTCAAAGTGGTACAGTTGTATTTCTATGGTACTGTACTATTTATTCAAGTGGTCGTACTTCTCGGACTTTATTTGTTCAAGAGTTAGTACTTCTAAAGATAACTATTTTAAACACGTTGATTAAAAAGTACACCGTGTAATGGCTTTCTTTTCATTATAAATTACTGCACTTTGGCGGAGACTTAAATGTTAGTACACATTGGAAGAGAATTCGAGATATAGAGGGCTGCAGGTTCGGTAAGAAGTGAACATCGTTGGTAAACAATGTAGCTTCACGGGTCTGTCTTGGTTTCTAGCATGAATTTTGAACTTCTAGGGCGGGCCTTTCATTTATTCCAATGTGACTGTGTTGATTTTCTTCTAGGCGATTATTTTGTTGTATACCACAATCTTGTAATATTACTATTGACTCCTGAACATGATGTGCATGGAAATTTGATTTTCTTTATTTTAGCCAGTATGTTAATGAATGCATTGATATTTATTTTAGCAGCAGGTCCCAAAACTAATACCTATGTCCTTTTATTTGGGTCTTCATGATCAAAACCCTTTGTAAGTAATGTTTAGATGACATTAAACTTCTCATTTAGCAAATTAATAACGTATGTAGGCAGACCAATAGTTATTATCACAATTCAATTGAAGTAATTTTTCTAATTTTTGGGAAAATGTTTTGTAGGGGCAAAATAACTGTTCAAGTTTTCAATAGATCAGTACCTTTCCTTCCTAACAAATTTTTGATCTAAAATTTAGGTGCGAGATTTAGGACCTTTTAAGAGCGATGAAGAATGAGGCTCCTGTAATCGCGGCAAATATGCAATGATTAATTTTTGTTTAATTTGTATTGCTATTTTATCAGACAAGTTTATTTTGAAACATTTCTCCAGCTTTACAGAATGTGTATATTCCTGAATATGTTTTTATATGCATTTGTTCAATGTCAAAATGGATATTAGAACCAGATAACATTTCTTTTGCAGACTGTCATGAATAAGTTGAGTGTTTTATTTTTTAAGCTACTAATAACTTTCCTTATTTTAAGAGCTATCTTGAATTATGTTGAATGCATAGACATTATTAAGATAACAAGTGGTATGTCATATGGCTAATGAATCGGTTTGCTTGATTGAAGAGTTATTATTTGTCATCAGTAATGGACAGCCTGAAATTTTATTTAGCAAAAGCAGGGTATCCTCAGCATGAAAGAAAAAAAAATTCCGGGTACACAAAATAGGGCAGAAATAATTGACAGTTTCTAAGTGGAATTTCTGGCCAAAGTCATGCAAGACTGCATGTTGTTCAAGCCCACTGTGGTCAACACATTGCATTAGGGGCTCCCAATACCAGAAGCCATTTTTTTATTTGAAAACTCAGAATCTACAGAGCTTCACAGCTCATCTTTACATTTATTAAACATTAACTTTTTTTCAAACTGCTCATCTTCATGCTTATTTAAACCTCCCCCTCGTATCTGTGGGGACATTTCACAGATGCATAATACTGTACTGTAATTATTTCGTAACACCTTTTGGCCCATGCTTCTGTCATCTCTGCTAAATCAGTGGATCAGCGCCTTAATTTGCTCTCAAAAGGATTTATGGTGACGTGTCGAGGTTTAGGTGCTTAAGGCTCAACATGCAGATGTGATCCCTTTTTTTTTCTTTCATGCAGCCTACAGGGGACCATAGCAGTTGCCAGGTGCACCTTCCATTTGTTTGCTTGTGTCCCAGCTTGGCCATTCTATTGAGTGCCACTTCATTATGTCTGGCTATTCTGATCACATGCCGTGTCATCCACATGGCTCTGCTGCTCAGAGGTCAAGTCATTATGTGGGGCTTCTAATTACTTTTAATTTATTCTTTTCTGAAACAAGCAGGGCTTTCCAGTTCTTTAACTATTTTTAGAGGATGAATGACATGAACTTTCAAAATAATTAGTTTTGTAAATAAATTTATATACAGTGAACATTCTCAGCACTTGTATCAAATATGTGTGTGTACTTTTATAATCTTTACTTAATGAATTAATCACTATAACACAGCTTGACAGTGTTTTGTTCCCTTCTCTTATAAGATGCGCAATAATCTCTTTTGACAGGCTAGCATCTTACTAAGAGAAATTACCACTGGAACATTGCTACACCAAATAAATACTAAACTTTTACATGAGAAACAAAAAGTGTGATCACGTTTTGACCACTCGTGGACCGTTACTCGGTCTCAACTTGATAATGGTCCAAGAGGGTCTGAAATGAGAAAATCATTAGGTGCCATGAGGAGGATTCGAATCTGGGATGCAACCGAATCCCACGGTGCAGTGCTTTAGACCATGTGGTGGTGTAGTGGTCTAGGGCATGTGCTTCCTGTGAGAGAGAGTTCGAATCCTCTTCACGGCTCCTACCGATTTTCTCGTCGATACATAGTATTGATGGGATTTCATTGTGCGTGGACTAAAATGTTGTCACACTGTTTCTCATGTGTGAGTTTGATGCTGATCTTATTCACTTAATTTATCATTATTTATCCATGATTATATTTTCTTTATCTTTTTTTTTGTATACCAAGATGCACAGTCTAACTACAACTTTATATTTTTTTTTTTTTTTTCTGCACCCTATATAAACATATTCATAAGTAATATATTAGTTGTTATAAATATAGAAAGCCCTGTATGTTTCAAGGAACAAAATATTATATGTGCACATCCCGCTTCTTATATTCCAAAGCACGTTTTGCTTTTTTTCTAATTAGTCTTTGATGTTGCAGTACTTTGGAGGAAAATCTAATCTCTCTTGTATTACTCTTGAGAGTTATTTATTTTTCCTTTATTTACAAGTTACTGGGGTAAGAGGTTGCAATGTTCTCAATAGTGATAGTAGGCTATACAATTTCTATGTTGTGCATACGTTGTGTTCCTGTTAGATACCGAGAGTGCTTTCGTGTTCATCGAAAGACGAAGGAGTGTGACTTGTGCCAGATGAAAAAATGAACCAAAGTTGTTTAGACGGTGAGAACGTACCGACACCAGTCGTACATGTTCTGTCAAAATTCAAACTCATCGGACGATAGTAATCATGTCTTTAATTATTTATTGTTGACTTTTGATAAATTGAAGTTATCTTTCATTTACCCCCCATGTATTAGCCTTCTTAAGAAAGAATAATTGGTAATATGATGGTCATATATGACACAAATTTACCTTATTTGCTTTAAAATTTGAGCTCGCTCTTGTCTCCCATTTTGAGCTCCAAAACCATATTATGAGCAGACACACAGGTCAGAGCATGGCTATGGTGTTCTGTTAGTTAATTGGCAAGTGACAAATGGCACAGCATCTCAAGTAATTGGTCAAGAATTGCCACAAGTTGGCTTGAGGATGTAGGATGTGTATGTGTTAGTGTTGATCAGAGTAGTACTAGAATGTGCTCAACATTCACAGTTGTGTCTGCACTTGGCTGTTTGTATACATTTTGACAACCCTTCAGATATTTGACTGAACTTTTGATATACTGTATTTTCAATTTGCTTTCTTCTTATTGTTAATAATAGCAGCATAGTAATAACTTTTTCATCACTTGTGAGAAAATGTACTTTTCTTGATAATATTGACTAAAATTTTTTAGGATCTTGCAAATTGTTTAAATCAACGATGCTTCAATGTATTTTAATATTTATTGACTTTAAGCAACAATGCATTTTTCTGGTTTTCAACTTTTATTCAATCTTGCATTTCAATTATCTTTTCTTAAATGTTCATTTATATATATATGATCATATTTATTGTTAAATTTGATCTTTAGGGCATGCCGGATTCCTGGACGAAACTACTGTCCATATCCAACATTAGTAAACAGGAGCAAAAGAATAACCCGCAGGCCGTACTCGATGTCCTTAACTATTACGATGCCTCCACCAAAGAACACCAAACTTCCAAGTTCATGACTGTTACGAAGAATGTCGGTAAGGAGATTAGTGTTATGGTACGTCGTATGCTAGTTGTCTTTGGCCAAGATTTTGGTGCCTTGGGTTTACTATATTTACTCTGAAACAATTAAGAGTTTACATTCAGGTTTACACAGTGTAAGGGGTATTACTCTGAATTTAATTTCAGTTGGACTAATAACCCAACCTATACACCTGAACGGAAAGCGACGACGTTTCACTCAAGTAGTGACAAGAGTTGGAAAGTCACTATAAGGGACAAGGGAAGGTGTGGTGAAAGGAGGAGAGGAGTAATTGGAAAAGTAAAGCGACCAAAATTTGAGTTAATTTTATTTAATTTTAGATGTGTGGGGGGGGGGGTCAGGTTATTTTTTGCAGTCACCAATTAAATCAATTATTGTGGTTTAATCTCTGCATACCAATGTTTCTAATGGATTCATCTTTGTGGTGTAGTGGAATCGGAAATGCACTCATGAATTTGAGTAGAATAGGTAACATAAATTTTCCAATCAAATTTCTAGAATGGTGTGGTGAAATTTTCTTTTCCACTTTCCTGGGAGTAGAAACTTAATATTTTGAGTACCATATTTAGTGGCTCATATTACACCTATTTTCTTGAAAAAAAATACTAAAATATAATACCGCAGCCAATGGACAAAAGCTTCAACTTTCCATTGTCACAGAATGAACATTCCATTGTAGTGCAGACCAAATCTTTTGTAAGATTGCTTGTGATCAACATTAGTATTGTAGGCGATGAGTCACAATAACGTGGCTGAAGTATGTTGACCAGACCACACACTAGAAGTTGAAGGGACGACGACGTTTCGGTCCGTCCTGGACCATTATCAAGTCGATTGTGACTTGAGATTGAGATTGAGTGATCACAATCGACTTGAGAATGGTCCAGGACGGACCGAAACGTCGTCGTCCCTTCAACTTCTAGTGTGTGGTCTGGTCAACAACATTAGTATTCATTCTTGACAAATTTAACCTAATATGCTCTGTGAGGGTTTTCAAATTCAAATAAGTCAATTATGACTACAGTGATTTGTTTCTATTATTGACGTATACAAGTGCAGATGACGAGTCACAATAACGTGGCTGAAGATATGATGACCAAACCACACACTAGAAGATGAAGTTGCCATGATGCCCACAACATGGCAAAAGTCAGAACTTGGCGTAGCCTGGGCCTAACTTGGGTCGCTGTAATTCCCAAAAGTGCAGCCCTATGTCTACAAGTGCTCTGTTCCTGTCTACCTTTAGCAGGCTGCCTGCACTCATAATGATCAGACATAATCATGTCATAAAACAGCTACATGTTATAATTAAGTCATAATCAGGTTATGATAAGGCTTGTCTTAAGATGTCTAAAGTATAGCCAGCATCCCAGCATTGTCAGCCATCTAATCAGCCTGCTTCACCGATTGTTTTTTTCTATTATAATAAAAAGATTGACCTAAACCAAATCTTAGTCTGTGAAGATCAACTTGGCTCTCTGAATTGATCAGGATTCCTTGCTCAAGGGTTATCACCTTCAGTCAGCCCTCTGAGTGCCATTGGAGATACTAGTAGAGTAGTTTTATTTGTCAGATAGAGGTTTGGCACTACGGTGAGTTGTATCTATGACTCCCTAGTTGATTTCTTGGTTGAGGTCCAGGCCAGAGCTGACTACACCTTGTCATTTTGCCAGAATGTGTGATGCATACTCTTTCAACCCTCATGATACACACTACAATGTTCTCAGCTTGTCATAAACACTTGGTGGAGGCCAAAACTGTCAGTAGTTTCAAAGTGTTGTATGACAAAGAATACTGGGAAGACGGGACACCACGAGCGTAGCTCTCATCCTGTAACTACACTTAGGTAATTGTGTGACATTCTGGAATCCTGATCCCACTGGGTCTTTTGTATTTACCAGCTTCTTTATGAGATAAGAAGGTGTTGAGGATTTAATATACACAGGTGTCTCAATGTTGTCTCATCTCTTCCTTCATATGAACAGCCCGTTCATACAGTGCGTGCACATTCCTTCCACCTTGTACTTTGAGCCATACCTAATTCTATCGTAACTCTTGGGTCACAACAATAGTTGCGCAAGTGTTGAGGGGAACTTAGATAATTAAAAAAACATAAATTAAAATTTTAGTAAATGTAGGGAGATCATGGCACCACAGATATATATCCTTGTATAGTCATGACAACCTTTTTATCCTATATATCTCTTGAAATTCTGGAAAAATTTTGGATGTAACATTCCGTGGCACAAGCAAATATGGTGATTAACATCAAATTGACAAGAGATGTGAATGCAATTACTGTAATTGTTTCAATGTGATCTATATTTCATTTACAGTCCTGTATATTACAAACAAAAATATTTTGCAGACCCATCACCCAGACCGAGTTTTCAGGGAGGAGTCAACATTGGTTACCCAGCAACTCCGTCGCCTCACAAAATATCAGATGCCTCGTCTGGGTCTCCTTCTACTCCTGAAACTTGCTCGGAAGTCAGTGTAAGTTTATGCACACACCATTTTCTTATTTTTCTTAAGCCACTGTTTTACTTAACTATTGGATACCAGCTTAGATCATATAATGTTTTTTATGGTTTATCTGGGCTGGCTCCTGTCACAATTTTTTGTTTCTAAGTATGGTATGAGGAGAGTGGGTTTTGTTTAAAAATCCTTTGTTACAGTATCTGGATTTGACATTTTTGGCTATTAGTGCCTTATAAAATGCTAATCTTTGTTTTTATACTTATTAAAAAATCTGTATTTAGAAGAATTTTGAACATTTTGCACAGTAATGCCCAAAAATATTTATTGCACATATTTAAGTTTTATAATTTTTTTATTCACCTGTGTTCATTTTGTTTTATATGAATTGTACAAGAAATATGTCAAATTAAGGTGTAACTGTCCAAATTTCAGGAAATGATATCATTACTAAATTGGCAGGTTCCTGAAGAGGAGGAGGAAGAGCCCCCACCTCCTCCTATAGCAACTAGACCAGAACGTACAAAATCTATTTACACTAAACCTGTTGAAGATGAAGCCAATGCAAATGGAGCCGCTTTGGATAGCAATCGAAATCCACAAGCTACAAGTATTACCCCAGCACCAGTGCCACCACCAACACCTCCCACAACAAATACGAGGTTTGTGTGTGTGCAATTACCGAAGTGAAGTTACAGGATGAGAACTGAACAAATCCACAAGGGCCGTGACGAGGATTCGAACCTGCGTCCGGGAGCATCCCAGACACGGCCTTAATGCTCCCGGATGCAGGTTCGAATCCTCGTCACGGCTCTTGTGAATTTGTTCATTTGATGCATCACGTTAGTGTGATCTCTGTGTGTAAGGAGGAGAACTATATATCGCTTGTGGTGTCTGTCTTTTCATTACTCTGTCGTACAAAGCTATGAAACTACTGACGGTTTTGGCCTCCACTACCTTCTCACTTAGCTTGTTCCAACTGTCTCCTACTCATTTTGCAAAAGAAAACTTTTTAATAATTTTTCAGCAACTTTGTTTCCTTAGCTTGAATCTGTGTCCTCTTGTTCGTGTGTGTGCACATGTGTGTGTTTGTTGTTTTTGTCTCAGTTAAAACATATAGTTATTGATTCCCAGTGTTTGAGCCTTCAGGAATTTGAAGAAGTTATCATGACTCGGTGTGTGGCAATTACTGTTCAAACCACGCCTTGTTGGCACTGTTTAAGTAACAGAACCTAGAGCAACAATCAGCCTTAGTTATGAAAACTTGTTCTTGTTAATGTTAAGCTTAGCCCACTTGGTGATCCTTGCAATAAGCTCAAGGATTATAATTGTTCACTCATCACTTGGGATCTCCCTTATTGGTTAGTGGATTCATGCCTCAGGAATCCACTAGATAAGGGTGTTCGTTAATGGTGGAGTTTAGTTAGAGAATTTATTTCAATGTGGTCAGTGTATTAGGAAAAAGCATCAGTGAGTTATTATTAAAGTAAATTAGTGTTTATGTAAACACAAGATGTGTAAACATTAGGTTTATTTACATTAATCTATTTATATGCTAACAAAGGGGGTTGGCATTATGATTTGGAAGTGTCAAGCAAGACTTGCCAGTAACAATTTGGAATAGAAGAATGTTCAAGTTCAATAGAGGAACTTTACTGGTTTGTCACTGACTGCCTTGTTCACAACTAAAAGTATATCAACAAGACAATGGGATTGAATTTAACACTTGGCCAAATGTTGTCTCCAGTAATATTCTCGGCAATTGAGGAGGAAACATGAAGAATCTGGGAAAATATCAGTCGATAGTATCATGTGTAGTAAATTAATGTTGACTGTTCTTTTAGCTTCTCTGAAAAGTCTCAGATATATGTAATGTGAGCACACACACACACACACACGTATCCCTATAGCTAATAGTGGTAAAAGTATTAAGAGATAACATGTGGCATTACTATTCTCTCAAAATAGTAGCTGGTAAGCTTGAATGGGCTTTCAAACCCTATAGATGCAAGTACACCATCTTCATCTTGGTAAGTCTAGTTACATGCAATACAGCAGAACATGTAGTTGAGTCGGGCATACTCGCTTTAACATGGTGCAAAATCAACAATAACACCTAAGTTATAACTTGAGTTCAGTAGATGTACTTGGGGTTATGATGTACTCACAAAACTAACAGACATGATATGAATGTTAAGAGATGTAATAAGCTTGCCAGGTACAGAAGGTTAGGAAGCAAGGCATGAAGAGTTAAATCTTGCTCCATTAATAGCCAGTATACTCACATTGGACTATAATATAGATAATAATTATAACAGGTTTAAATTCCTGTAGATGCCCGTACTCTTCGGTATATTATAAAGATAATACAGTACCTTGTACACGTTTATATGGGGTGAAACTGGTGTAAGAGTAAGTGATGTAACTGTGGCTGACAACCTCGTGCATACCATAATGCTGGCCATTAATATATTTTGGTTATCTGAACAGGTATTGCATGGACTAGATTCTGGCATTATTTATAGTTTTAACATCCCCCCCTCTTGGTTCATACCATAGGTGTTTACAAGACATTATTACTGCTGTTATATATTCCACTTTGAATACCAATAACTAACTGGTCTTGACCGGTGACATTACCCTAATGTGCCGTGATCATTGTCATCCACATATCTCTGTCCATTTACATCTTTAATGTTTTGACACTGTTAAGTTCAATTTGGTATGTGCTAGACTACTTATGTCTAAAAATTGTATTGTCCTATGTAGTACAGTACAATACTTTACTGTAAAGTATATTTTAAAAATGTCCCACTTTACTCGGTGAGTAAAGTAGGACATCTTATATATGAATTTATATTTCATTAATGGGTCACCTTGTTGCAGTGCAAGTACAGCAATAGAAAGGACAGCAGAGAAACAAAAAAAGAAGAAAATGAGCGATGAAGAAATTTTAGAACGATTGAGAAGTATAGTGTCTGTCGGAGATCCTAACCGCAAATATACCAAAATGGAGAAGATTGGCCAGGGGTGAGTAAAGAATATGGCTTGTGTTACTTTGACTTTCATGAAGTGCAGTATATAAAGGAGTTGAAAGTTATCTAAGAGAACTCACTAAGGGCAGTTTATATGTATGTGAATCCATTGTGACAGTTACAATCATTATATGTAGTGCTTTGATGCCATTTAAAACTACTAATAACTTTCAGTATGCTATAAAGATTTAATATATTATCTGGTGTACGAGATGCGCCCTCACATAAGAAACGCTGCTATTTTGCCATGATATTTTGTAGATTTTTTTTTTTTATTGTTTATCATACATTTTTATTGAAAGTGATTTCAAAATGCAGCTACAAATTGCTAAAATAAGAATTTTCATATTCTATCATGTAAAATACATCGAGCTTAAGATTTGAAAAACATATATCCTGTCCACCAGAAAATACAACATGTATAAACACTGATCTGGACCTATGAATGGTGCTGCTTTATTAGCACTTTTTAAATGCAGGTTATTTTCCTCAGGGCATCGGGTACAGTTTACACAGCAATTGAAACTGCAACGGGTGTGGAGGTAGCAATCAAACAAATGAATCTCTCTCAACAACCAAAGAAGGAGCTTATTATCAATGAAATTTTGGTCATGAAAGAAAATAAACACCCAAATGTTGTAAATTATTTGGATTCCTATCTTGTTAATGAAGATTTATGGGTAAGTTTTTTATTTTTGTGTTGAAATAACTGCCTCTGCTAAGTTTAACTTATGTTGGGAGAGATATTTTCATGGTTAGTAATACTGTATATGTAAGTGAGGGCCAGCAAATGTCTCGTTGTGTTATACATTATTGTATTCTATGGCAAGCGATGAGTCACAATAACATGGCTGAAGTATGTTGACCAATCCACACACTAGAAAATGAACGGACGACGACGTTTCGGTCCATCCTGGACCATTCTCAAGTCGATTGTCGCCGTCCCTTCATTTTCTAGTGTGTGGATTGGTCAACGTTCTATGGCACATTCTGAAGTTGAGCCGAGACTTGAAAATACCACATCTGTATTATTTTCATTCAAAAGTACTCAACTTTGGGCACCTTAGGTTGTAGTTTGCATCAGTGAGCAATGTCAGTTTTCTGACCAACCTGTCCTCTCAAATAATACATAGCATTTTAACATCACATTCCCTATCAACGGACAAAATGTGATGAAATATAAATTATAGCAGCTCAGTCATGTTTTTTATGCATGGCTCACTCAGTTAGGTTTGGTTCAGGTGCTTTAGTGCACCATTTTCTGTCTGTTGTAGCAACTCAAAAGGATGGACTGTTCTGATAGTGTAAATGAACAAAAGAACATTTACCAAATTGTTCACTTTAAGCTTTGCAAATGAATCATTCCTCATTTGCATTCCTCACACTGAAGACTTTAAAGTAACCCCCTGATCTTGTGTCTTCCCACACCTCATTTTGAGTGCTTCATTTGCTTATGTACAGTATTGATTAGCGAGGTTAATAATTACAATCTTGTAATACTGCCTGCAAAAGTGAGAGATCATAAATGTAAACTCAAATGATAGTCTTCTAGCAGTTTGAAGTAAGAGCTAAGGAAAGTACTGTATTATAATTGTGTACACTAAAAATATTCTATTAATTTATTTCCCTTTTACATGGGTTGCATTTTTCAATTTTGCGTATATTACAGGTAGTAATGGAATATTTACCGGGTGGATCCCTCACCGATGTGGTGACGGAAACATGTATGGATGAAGGACAAATAGCTGCAGTTTGCAGGTGAGAAGTGTTGAAATTCTTTGCCTTTATTGTCCTTCATGTACACACAGTAGAAATGATCAGTAAACCATCAATAAAGTACAGTGAAGGCAGATTTGCATGCTTAGGTTCATTATTTTTAAATGTACTACATTGATATAACACACCTCTACTGTAGCCTACTGAAATATTCATGACATGACAACTAAAACAATGTTTTTTGCATTTCCAAGTATCTCTCTCCTTACCCCCATGAAAATGGGATGATGAAATTATAGAGCAATTTATCATGTGATTTTTTTCTTGCATTAATAGCACCTTTATTATATTAAACAAAATTCCAGTGAAAAATGTTCACACTGATTTTATATTTCATTTGGGACTGGTTTGGAAAATTGGTATCAGAGTGGCTTCCCTCTCAGAGACCCTACTTTCTTGTTCATGGAGGTACATGTATTGTCCTAGAAATTTTCTCTCTCTCTCTCGGGTTTTGGTGACCACCAGATTAGGGAGTAATTTAAGCCTCTTATCTCAATTTTCCGTGTGTTCCTCCTTCCCACTTCAAATTAAAGGTTTAACATCTCTTTGTTCAATGAACTCTTGTCAAAGCATCTAACATCTCACGTTGTCCTCACCATTCTCCCTGTTATAGTCTTCAGATTCACGAAGCAGTTACGCAAGCACTTATGAACGTGTACATCTTTTCTCATTTTTTGACGTCTTTGGTTACATTTAATAAACAGTTTACAAGCATGAAAACTTCCCAATGAACTGTTGTTATTGTTATAAACTGCCTCCTGGTGTTTCGGAGCTCATTAACTGTTTAATAATTGTAAACAAACCCGCCAAAGATTGAGAAAAAATGTACAAGTTCGTAAGTGCTTGCGTAACTGCTTCTTGAATCTGGCCCCAACTAATAAAGGATTGTGAACTCTTCCCAACTCTCCGCCTGTCTTCACATATTGAGTTTCAATGCCAAATTTTCTGCCATTGAGGCAGAGATACCTCCCTTACCATCAGTAAGAGGCGGCTTGGTGTACGCTTCAGCAGTTATGGCTCTTCACCATTCTTCATCCTTGATATCTTTCTTGCTATGGCTCTTTACAGTGAGTGGTCTTACTCCTAACACCATTCCTTCCTACCAGGTAGCTCACAAAGCTAAGTCTGGTGTTTGCACTCGACATTTCGTCTCTTCCTTTTCTGATGTTGGGGGTTGTGTTTTTCTATCTTCATCCTCATACTTATTGGCACCTAATAGGTTTCTAGTTGTTGTGATGGACCTCCTATTTTCTCCAAACATTTGGGTGCTTCCACCCTTTGAGGATATGATTCAAGGTACTGTAGAAGCTTCATGCTCTGCTTCATTGGCCTGATTTTGTTATCTTTGGGCATGATATTGGATTTGTGCACCTCCATCCTGAGTCCTCCTTCCTGACAGAGATGGCATCCTCTCAATAGGGGCTTTGGGTGTTTGTGTAGTTACTTGTCTCTGGTTCCTTCGGGCATCTTGGTACTCTGTCTGAGTTTCTGTTCTTTAACTCTTATACTATGCTTCCCTGTTTTAAGGTCTGTGTGTCTCATCTCATCCGCAGAGGGGAGCGAGGGCGTATCTTTGGACTCTGAGACCTGCAAAAATTTGCCACCTTCATTGCATTCTCCGTCATGCACTCTACAGACTTTTGGGCTTGTTTATTTTGTAATGAACAGCACATTTGCCACATTATCTGCCTTTACTCCCTGACCTTCATCATTAGTGTGTGGCATTGTGATATCTCTTGTCCGGCAAATCTCTTCTGCAGGGGATGTGGGCCCTTTGTCTGGTGTTTCAGCAATGCAGTTCTGCTCTTCCCCTCCATCTTCCTGCAACACCGGAAAACTCTCATATAATTAATTTTTTTGTTGTGGTCTGAGCACAGAAATGATTTTAAGTATGCTGTTTGTGAAATGTTCCTTTAAGTGCAGGCCATTTCTTTGCCCCAATGTACTCTGCCTTTCCAAGGGTTTGTTGGGATAAAAGTGAGATGGGATCACAGAGTTCCTTCTGTTTACACAGCCGGTAACACTGTATGTTGGTAGGTGGTAGAGTGGTGATCTAATTTATGGTCACTTAGGGCTGCTTTAAGAATTCTTCAATGTATCCTTACAAAGACCAGAGAGGCAGGTTTAGGGAGTGAACAAGTCACCCAGAAGTAATGTTTCATTTACACATTTTACACTAAAGGATACAGGGGCAGAGGTCTTCTAGTTCTTGCTTGTAGACTTAAGTTCTCCTTCTCACAGCTCATTTGAAGCCTTTCTTTACTTGTTACCCCTCTAATATGATCTGCTAACCAATTTACAACCAGGTCCCCAGTTAGTGCTGGGTGAACAATAGGAAACATTGATTGGTAACCAGTCATCCCACTCATTCCAGGATTTAAATCCAGGAATGTTTTGTTGCAAGGTGAGTGGGGTGATGCTGCTAACCACTTGCATTACAGGGTGCTGCATGTGTGGTGGTGGGCAAAGGTAGCTTCTCAATCTGTGATTATGGGGATGTAAAACCTAGCTCTTTATGCCCTACCTCCTAGCAATTTATACCTGGTGCACTAATTACCTCCCTCAACATTAAAGCTTTCGTCTTTTTTTTTAGACACTTCAATGCATTCCACTTTCCTAGCACCTGTACAGGGAACAAGAACATTCTTAATCTTCAACTCAAATGCATGTCCTAGGCATTCCAGGGTGTATTAATTTATACTAAAGAGAATTAGGCCTAAGCACCTTAATGACTGTATAATTTCTTTGAAAAGTTGCATGTGGTTCTGGTGTAGTATGACTTCTGACTTTGTGCTCTTGCACCTTGGACAAAGTAGGTTTTACCTTAGGGAGGAGGGAGGGAATTATCAGGGGGGGGGGAGGAGGTGCCAAGCCATTACAAATATATAGCACTTGGAAGGGGTCAGGATAAGGATTTGCAGACCAAAAGTTAAAAAAAAAATATTTTTTTGGAATTTGTTTTTGATAAATTTGTAAACAAATTGTATTGGCTTCTACTAAGCATGTAAAATAAATTTTTCTAAGATATGATTACCACCACAAACAGGAATCATGTACATTCGCTAACAATTGTTTGTGCTCTTTGCAGGGAGGTGCTACAGGCTCTTGAGTTCCTTCACCTTAGCCAGGTTATACATCGTGACATCAAATCAGATAATATCTTGTTAGGAATGGATGGCAGTGTCAAACTTAGTAAGTATAGATGAAAGCATTTCTTAATTTTTGTTTAATCTTAAATACTGTTGTAATGTATAATTCATTTTGTCAGGGAGAGGCAGCCTATGTGTATATGTATGTATGTTAGGCTTATGTCTAAGTGTCCCCAAGATCTAACTACTGACCCTCCCCAAGATGCAACCCACAACTCGCAAACTCCCAGGTACCTATTTACTGCAATGTGAACAGAAGCATTAGGTGATAGGAAACACGCAAGAATTTCTGTCCAGCTCACGATTCAAACTTGGGATTCTCATTAGTGTGTATAGATCAAACTCTACTGAGACCCATAGTACAAAATAAGCTACACACTTAAAGGAATTTCGTAATGTAGAAGGTGTCTCAAGCCATTCAGAAATTAAATCTTTTTATAAAATGCAGATGTGTAATAAAATTTCACATGGTCTGTACGTATACATAGCTTCATGCTTAACACTGAAATGGAACATACTGGATGTGTTACAATAACAGACCGATATGGACAAACATGATGAAACTGATGAGAGACTTACCAGGTGGACACAAACTGGCCTTTGCTGAGAAATTTTCATCTACATTATATATGCAGATTGGGATCAAATAAATTCTAACACAACTGACTGTAGAAGTCAGTAGCTCTGAGAGCCACAATGGTAGTAAAAAACCACAGTATTGAGGAACATAATGATATATTGTACTGGTAATACTGAAACTCTAGGAGACATGGATTGCCATATGGTGGCAGCTGGGTGCATCATATATTTGCCCTATGGAAATGATCACTTGCTTTGCTCTCATTTTGCAGAATGAGCCATATTCTGGTCCTGGCCTTTAGTTGCCAATGGATTGGCCTCGGAGGCCTGGCATGTTGATGTTTACTTTAGTAGTACCAAGGTTAAATTTTGAGATCAACTTTTGACCCACCAGAAAGGGATGTTTCAGTACATTAAACACTTCATAATTTTTTTGTACCAGGAGGTAAAACAAAACAAAACAATGACAAATCTTGGGTGCAGTGCAGAGGTTAACATTTTAATATATAATATATATATAGATATATATTGTATATATGATATAATTTTTTTTTTTTACATATGCAAAACCATGAATCACACATGATAAGAAAACTAACATGGTTTTAGACTAGCAGAAAAATGAGAAATTATTTAAAAACCTGGATAGTTTGAATTTTTTTAGATCAGATCAGGAACAGTATGATCCAGATTTTGTAGTTGCTACTGTATTTTAAAACAAATTCTATTATAACATATTAATGTTCACATATTATTATGAAGCAAAAATAACAACAGAACTTACACAAAACTGGCAATGTAGAGTGTACGTTATGAACAGTTCTGGTATACGAGCCCAGCACATGAGACCCTTGTGATTCTCTGCCTGTCTCGTGCATACAATACAGTAAAAGAAAACTTATTCGTGAAGGGTTTTATTGCAAAATTTTTCATTTTTACACTGCATTTTTGTTTGTTATTAACCAGATATCTTGCAGTGGCATTTACATAGCCTTCCTGGTTTGGTGCCTTCTTTTGATAATTATTTACTTGCAGTTGCATTCCTGGTGCTTAAGGTGGTAAGAGATAGAAGAAATATATATTTCCATTGAGCAGAAAATCAACCTGATAAAGGAGAGGTATGGTAAGCCTTCCTGAGACCCATGGACTGGGAGTGGCAAACTGCAAGAGTGGCTTGCTGTTTACCTAATGAAAATGTTAAGAAATACTTCATGTCTGTACAGTACATTCATTATCATTTCCCACTTTTATGGGGGTGGGAAGGCATCAGCCTGGATAAGTAAATGAGAGTAATATTGTCAAATGTTACAGGTATTAAATAATAAAACATTAAAACATTACTATTTGACATCACTGACAATTAAAATATTACTACCTCCTGGGTTTATTAATATGTAATTTAAGAAACTGGCCCAAGGCAAGTAGAAGAACTTGGGGAGTAGAAGATCTTCCAGAACCCCATTCAAATGCAATTCAAATAGGTCAGCCTGCAGTCTGATATCTCGCAATTTGTTTTTACAAAAAACTTGTCGAAAGTAGAAGTGCTTCCCTAAACAGCCTACTTCAAGCCAAGTCTGGAATGTGCAGCAGCATCATAGAATTCTCACCTTCTGAAACACCTGAAAAAGATTGAGATGATTCTGAGATACGCTATGAGACTTGGGCCAGTGATAAGAGAGCAGAGTTATGAAGACAGGCTTAAGGGAACTCAATCTAACACTGCTAGAAGAGAGGAGAACCAGAGAAGACACGAATAAAACATGTAAAATACTGAGGGACATAGGTAAGGTGGACAAAGGCACCACAAGAGAGAAATAGGAGGAAGTGGGAGTTGCAAACTGAATAGTCAGAAAGTATTGTATTTACATGCAGTGTGAGAGGTAAGCAAATAAAATGAACTGAAAGCAGAGTTGGTAGAAGACACAGCTTAAAGGGCAAGTATGATAGAATACAAGTTTGTGTGTGTATGTGAGCTCACATATTATGAGCTTGATAATGCCCAGCTGATTATCAGGGCAGGTGACCATAAGAGGAAGACATATATGAAAACTTTCCATTACTGTGTAATCATTGACCCAGCCCAGTACAGTTTGAGCATAGCCTCTCCCCTAGTTAAATTAATGTTACACATACTAATAATAGTTGTCTACGTAATTGTTATTTACACCTCAACTACTCTTCATATCCACATTTTCATGTTTTGCTTGCATTCTGTCCTCTAGATATGAAAAAGCTCTCAGCATTATGGTCACCTATAAATTAAGTCTTTCCTAATTTTGGTGTTTAAATTTTTCAAGCTTACAGACTTGAAAAATAATGCTGTTTTTAATGCTAGATATAATTTGTACTGTACAATAGACCACTGACTATTTTATTATTTTAGTTTATATAAAGTATTCATACTGTGCAATAAATTTATTGATTTTTTCCTTTCTCCAACAGCTGATTTTGGCTTCTGTGCACAAATATCTCCTGAACAGAATAAAAGAACAACAATGGTTGGTACTCCTTACTGGATGGCACCAGAGGTGGTTACAAGGAAGCAGTATGGCCCTAAAGTTGATGTATGGTCATTGGGTATTATGGCTATAGAAATGATAGAAGGTAAATTAATCATCTTTGGTAATTAGGGAGGTTTACTTACTTGTAAAGGTAAATTGACTGACATGGATTCTTGGCTGTAATACGAGTCTCTTGCTTTTAGAAACCATTATCCTGCAAAGATAAAACAAAATACATGATTTTTGTGTGTACTAAATATTTTGTAACTTTATCTCTCCAGGAGAACCCCCTTACCTGAATGAGAACCCTCTAAGAGCACTGTACCTGATTGCGACCAATGGGAAGCCAGAGATTAAGGAACGAGAGAAACTGTCTCACGTTTTTCAGGATTTCCTTGATCAGTGTCTGGATGTTGATGTTGATAGGCGGTCCACAGCCCACCAACTTTTAAAGGTACCCTTCTTTGGTTTCCAAATAAATTAAGTTCTAGGTAAAGCAGGTTTTTTTTTGTTTAAATTGCTGGGCATTTGAAGATACGGCTGTGTTTTTCATAAGTAATGTTTGTTGTTGTTATCCATTTCCCACTTTTATGTGATGGTGAAAGGTCAGCTTAGATAAAAAAATAATGGGGGTGGGGGAAATATATGATACGAAGGTTAAAGATATTAATAATTACATAGCAATGCCTGAACATGTAGCAGTCATGTCCTCACATTTTGGGACAGAGCAGGAACAATCTGAGTACTATTGACCTCTGTAAAGGAAGAGCCACAGAGAAAGTCATGAAAAAGCATAGGCATCTCCCTCTAATTAAGCTTTTGCCCAGGCAAAATAATTGTTTGCCAATCAGGACAAGGCTAAGACCTTATACCACATCCGGGAAGTGGACAAAAAGATGAACTCGAAGTAAGAAGTCCTTTGCTGAAGCAGTTTCAGTTATGCAACATGTATCAAAGAAAATCCTGCCAAGCAATGTTAGAAGATCGATGGGCACTTGGAAATTTGTGTTTGGGTAGTATATCCACATGAAGAAAGGGAAACCACAAAGGCACCCACGGGAGAGCAGAGGAGAAATCGCTCTTGTACTGGGAAGGGGGGATAAGAAACCAGTCACTATGAAGCATCGTGCCTACTAGTCCAAAAAGAAAACTCCGATAAGGGTTAAAGGACATCCTTGTATCCTCTTCTGACAACCCAAGACTTTCAACCTGCAAAGAAGACCGGGAAGGGAGCACACATCCCCTATTAAATGGAAGAGACTGGGCCAGTACAGTATAACTATTTTATGGATTATATGTTATAGCTTCATTCCCAGACAATTAGACAAGTCTCCAAGAATAACAGGCCTGGTTTCCAAATGTTTGGCCACATGGGGTGTTGATAGACTTGGATTAGGAGGGTGGTGGAAGCGAGTAAAAGATATCCAAATGTTTGGTGGCTCATTTCTGTGATTTTATGGGACTTGGTAGCAGGGTGGACTTGGACTAATTTTAAAGTGTTCTTTAACCTCATTGAGAAATCTCAAGAGGAGCTATTGAGAGGGCTACCACAGAAATAGAATGTCAAGTGAAATGAAATGCCCCATTTTAGGGTGACACCTCTGTAGGTCTCTATTCCTGTACTGTCTCCCCACTTTCCCATGCCATTGGTTGCACTTGGGCATGAGTTGAGAGGTTATTTCACATTGCCTCCTTTTGATTCACATACCATTTGGTGGTTCTTCACATTGCCTCCTTTTGATTCACATACCATTTGGTGGTTCATCTCAGTACTAGGTGATCTCCAATTCCCACTGCTATCCCTGCCATATGGAGGGGGGATAAAATGGGTTTTAAAAAAGGTCTCTGTGCCAGTGGGTAGTGTGTGGGTATTTGACCTTGGTGTACCTAGAATGTCTCTTAGTGTGCAAATACTAATCTCAAAGGAGCTACTGAGGTGCCGTTCCAGAATGGGACATTTCATTAAACTCATTATTTTTTGTAAAATGTCTAATATTGTTAGATAGGCCAGAAAAGGTGACTGGAAATACCTTTCTTATTAGCCTTCATATGCTCAAATCAAATCTAATTATTTTTAAGGGTTTAACAATTTTATATTCATATTTAATTTGTTTATACTTTCAGCACCCATTTCTAAAGCTGGCTCGACCCCTATCAAGCCTCCACCCTCTTATCGTAGCAGCAAAAGAAGCAGCCAAGAACCATTAGCAGTGAGGCCTTACCAGATAGCTACAACTGACTCCGCTTACATATGTAATGCCAGCTCTGACCCTGGTTACGATTGGACATTGCTATTCATTACAGAAGCAGAAGTGCTTATGGCATTATGGATTAAAAGTTGGCAAGTAAGTGGGAGCAATTTACCTTGCCCTACCATTGCCATTATTGCTATTCAAGTGCTGGCGTTTTCAGAAATAGGCGGTCAGCCAGGTGAGAGAAATGTACAAGGATGCCTTAATTATCCATTACCCAGTCTATCAGATACTGTGTTTAGTACCAAATGAATCTATTGTCTTTCAAGGACTACACTAACACGAATGTAGATTATTGAAGACAAACTCCTGATAGTTTTTAAATTAATATTGACCATTTGTGTTTTAGTACATAATAGTTTTCAGTGGCATATGACAAATGAACCTGATTATGAAACAGTGTGCACAGTATGTGCATGTTGACCCCACACTCTGTATGTCCCTTACTTTAAGGGTACAATTTTGCAGTTATGTGGTTTATTTTTTAATACCGGTTTTTAAAGACACTGGGAGAGAGAGGGGAGAGGGAAATCTCTCTTTTTAGCTGCATTTTAGTGTTCGAGGCAATCGTCAAAACCAAATAGTTTTGTTATTTTTTTACATTTGAATTACAAATATTGCTTTAATCACATTTATATTGTCATAGAAGTCTTTATGCAAAAAGTTTTTTGCATTATGATGCTATTAGGTAAGTTTATAGTTTGGCTGTTGTAAAACAAAATTGCTCAGTCGGTAGGGCCCCTATCTCCCTGAATAATTTACAGTGAGTTGGAAAATAAAACTGTGCTCATAACACAATCAACGAAAAGTTGATAAAGCTACCAGTACATTGTCTAATTCTGGAGGAAAGTTGCAGTACTGTATTTGTCTATATTGTCTTGTTGTCATAAAATAAAATAGGACCTTTTAAGGTGTCTGGAATGCATCCCTATTTTCCTTGTAACGATACTCTACTTGTGCAGTTTTTATTTGCTAGCTGTTCCTGTGATAGCATCCTCTATATAAATCAAGTGCCAATCTCTCAGAATTTCAAAAACTAAATAGCTTTTCGATATGCCCAAATTGGAGGAAAAACAAAGGAGCTATGATAACCACATACGTATTGTATGTAAATTGTACATACGTACATGTATTGTATGTACCAGTATGTAAATGGTTTGAGGAGATAGAAAAGGAAGATTTATGGAACTTAAGATAAATGAAAGAAGTCGCATGCGCAAATTAGAGAACAAATGATGTAATGCAAATACCAGGAAGTATCCTTTGATAAAACCCTCAGTGACTCTGCCTCCTTTGACATCACTTATCTATATGCTTATATTAACATCCAGAATGATATCTAAGAACTCTTCAGTATAATGTAATACAGTAGTGCTATATAATACCATATTGGCCAAGTACTTTTTGACAGTAATTACTTAAGAAGTATTTTTTTCCAAACTGGTTTTGAATCGACTGATGATAGTGTGTGCTAAAACCATCGGCAGTTCTGAAACTTTGTATACTTTATCATGGGGAACATAAAACATCATGAGCATAGCTATTTGTGTAACTACTAATGGGTACAAAGGTAGAATGTAAATCAAAAGGAAGTTTTCTTCATTGTTCAATTATCTGGGTTAAGGATAATTATGGTATTGATTGACATTTCTTTCTCTTTGAACTAATAAAATATTCAAAATTCTATTTTAAGTTAATTGTAATACTGAAAGCACAAATATTTGTTTTAGTGCAGATTTGAAAGTACAGAACAGCAATCTGTTATGGTAATACAGTAAAAAAAAAAAAAATTTTTTTTTTTTGTTCTCTACAGTATTGTATAGTTAAAACTGGGTGGTCAGCATATAATTATTTCACCAAGAAGTGATTAAATTAATTGAAATAGTTTCTGCCAACAAGCATTGTTTCGCTATTGAGGAAAGGAGTATTAGTTATTGTGCAGATTTGCTAAATAAAATCTATTGTCTGAAGATTTCTAAATGTCTTAGCAATCTCATTATGATCTGAAAATGTACTCTTGTTCTGTGTGTTCACTTGATTCTTGTTATCCTAAATACAGGACAACACTGTAATAACATAGATTTCAAAATGGAGCTTGTAAGTTGTACCGAACAGGCATTCTTATCGTGTCTGTTTAGTAGGACTTAGTGGGCGAGTTTAATTGGTGAACTCAAGTTGATTTACATAATAATTTGACTTCATTATCAAGCTATGCATGAAGCACTTGTTTTAAGAGTCACTGAAGTTGAATTTTCTGAGCAAATGCCTGTTATGCAGAAGTCTTAATGATTACAGGATGCAAATTGTGACTGGTAGCAACATTTGAATCTCCACGAAAGCATATTGCTCATAAGTCGGGTATCTGCCAAAGAATTAATTTGTGTCATTTTCCCATAATGGGTAACCTATTTTTTTATGTCCATTCTATAAGTCTTGGTGGACTATGACACATTCATGTTAGTACAGTTTTATTGCTGCAGCATATTCATTCTATATAATTAATCACTGCCTGACTTTTTTTAGATTATCCTAAATCTTTCCTGGTTGAAAAGGATATTTTCTGATAGTATACAGGACAATACTTCAAATGTTGCTCTCAGTCCTTAACATTAGAAACTATGGAGTTGTACAGTGGTGAAAGATTTAGGAGATATTGGAAGACCAGATCTGTTATAACTGCAGACAACTTGTCTATTGATTATAGATATACCATATAGAAATAGGTTATGTTAGTGCCTGTAAATGTGGGAATTTACTTGAGTGCAGCAATTAAATAGGGCCCTAATTTGTCTGGCTGTATCAGTCAGGGGTTAATTGTGAATTGATCATGTCACAATTATTCATATATTAAGATCTGTAGTCACAAATTGAAGTAGTGCTAAGAATTTAACCCGTGCCTCGTTTTAAAAGTTTACAGTGAATTTGTGTCGTTGCAGCGAGTATGGAAGTATGAGGAAGTCGGTCTTATTCATTGTATGGGAGAGGGAAGGGTTATTTTTTTCTGTGGGATCAGTCTTAGCCATAAGACCTGCAAAATGTAGGATATAATTATTGAAAAGTTGTGGGAAAATGTAGAGTATATTTTGTTGTAAATTAGGTAAGTCGAAATGATAAAATATAGTTTGACTGTCCAGTGCATATTGACTAAAAATACTGAATTATTTTTTATCTTTTATTTCTGTATTTACTGTCAAAATATTGTTTGTTCTTGGACTTCAGTATATGATGTTGCATTAAGCAGTATCTGAAGAAATCTGCTGACAATTAATTACTATACATGTACAATACAACTTGCGCTTCAGGACTTCAGTGTCAAAGCACCATATTTGTGGCAACTCATAAGCAGCTTCTGTGCCATGTGATTTTTTTTTCTTTAACATACCAGTACTCTAGTTCTTGACACTTATGTAGACAATTTTATTATTGAAGCTAGGCTGCCATTTGTGCCATAAGGGTGGATGTCATGGTGGAACATTCCATCATTATTCAAGAAAAATTATCCACAGTTTGGACTGTCTGATACAATTTTGTTAATGCATAACTTCATGTCCATTTTGTATTTTAGAGTGAGGTAATTGCACTATGATGACAGACTCAACTATTCCTTCTTTGAGGACGACTTTTGTTTGGAAAGGGCTCCAAAAGTTATTCTGTGATTAAAAATCATGGAAATAATCTGGTAAGTATGACTAAGAATTATTTCCTCCTCGTTTTGTGAATTTTTTAAAATAGTTTGAGCTCTTTATACAGTACCGGTATTATTTGTAAATCACATGACAAAAATTCCTTACAAATTTTTCAAAGTCAGTGAATAAACTTGTGTGCCAGTGTGCATATTTAATATGGAATTTTAAGTCATTTAGTGTTACAAGAGGTTCTGCTGAGACTTGTCTTTGTGCTGGGTATTTACTTGTATGATTGATAAGTTTATCCTCGGCTGAAAGTGTTCTCTTTGCTTCTTGTAGAACATTTGAAGTGTGACTGCAGTTTTCTCCAAGCAAAAGTGTTAAAAGAATATAATTCAAATTAATTTTGAAGAAATGTCTTGCTGATCAAGGGTACTTGGTCCTTTGGTATGGGCAGGACTCTGTACTTAAGTTTTTTTATTTAATGATTGCATTGGCCACCCTCGGAAACATTGGCTGTTAAGGTTTTATATAAATTTATGCTGCAACTTGTCCAGTAGTTTGGCACCCATTATCAAAGCTTCCAAAGATTACTAGTCTGTTTTTTGTATTTGGTTTAACTGTTCTTTCTAATGCTTTGCTGTCTTCTCTTGCTCTTTTTTTTTTTTTTTTTTTTTTTTTTGACGCATTTGTAATTTTGAGTACAAGTAATTACTATTGAAATTGATAGCCAAACTATGTGGAAATCATCAAATATTTTACACTGCTATTGGCTGCTGGCTCTAAAGTAAAGAAATATCAATGACTGAAGTGTTTCAGAAACATACTGCATGCATCATCTGTTCCAAATGTGAATTAATTATGACTAAACATTTTTATTTTAATAAGAATTAAAATGCATACTCTTCATTTTTTTTTCCTGGATGCACAAATTATTGAATGGACTTTCACTTTTAACTGTGACCATTTATTTAATGTAACATAGTACCAAGTTGTTCCTGAAATTTGTAAGTAGTAAATTCATGAACTTTGTATCCCTGTGTACTAAAATTGTGTTTTTTTTAATTTGCCCACGGTTATTGAGCTTGTAATCACGTACTAATCTTGTTAAGTGGTCTATTTTCCAAGAACTTTATCATCCATTCCACAGTGAATAAGAGAATCTTTGTGAATGCTGTATAAGGATGTGAAGGCATTTATTCACAGGTTTTTGTTTATGATGACTATTATTTTGAATCCACATCAATTGAGGCATCATTGTTTAATCCATGTTAAATTGACTTTAACCAAGTAATTTATATGCACATTAAAACTGATAAGCTGGTTAAACAATATTAGGCAAGTGTTAGTATTGATAATTATTGTTTACCTTTTTCTTTATTTTTTTGTGAATGCATCTGAGAACTCCACAATTAATTTTATTTATCTCATTATAACAAATTTCTAAAGTTAATGTATAAACTTCCACACTCAACTCTCCTTTTAGATGACTTTTAGAGCTTTATTAAATATACCAAATACACAGAGGACTACAAATGGTTGGCAATAACTGTTATTATAACTAACTAGTTTCCCAAAAACTTGGAATGTAAAACTAGTTGAGCACTGTATGTGGAATTTACAGTATTTGCTGTACTATATCTCAGGAGAGCTGTGTTCAGAGTGATAACTCATGGTAGATACAGCACCCTAAAAATGGTGGTTAAGCTACTATTAAATAATGTGCAACTGCAAGGTGGCAAATTTTCTTTATTTTTTATTTTAATCTGTTGGATGAAGTGCATTTTTAATTTTAATATTTCAGTAGCAGGGGTATTAAAATACAAGTTTTAAATGCAAAAAATGAAGCATGTTTAGCCTTATTTCTTAAGACATCTTTGGAGAGTACAAAATCAATCATTCCCAATACTCGTTGACAATAAAAGTGAATCTGCTTTTGAAATGTACATTCTATGGACTGTCTTGATCTCACTGGGTGTCTTAAGAATATGGCTGCATCAACATATGCGCAGTTAATTTAGCAAATCTTGAGTTGTCATATCATCCCTTTTATAAATTACCAGGTGTGTATTTGTTTCTTGTTCAAAGCCAATAGTTTGTTTCTATGCAGGACCAAGTTATTGAGTGGAATTCTGTTGTGAATGTATTTATTGTGCAAATTGTTTAATTTACAATTGTAATAGGATTGGTTCTATGTGCTATTACCAATATATATAATCTAATGCCTATACCAGTGGGATGGAAAATAATTTTTTATCAAAAATTAGTTCTGTCATTTTTATTCAAATTATGATCCCATCTGTTGTACATTTAAAAAGAAAGCCAATACACAAATTGAATGTGCTTTTTACTGCATATATGTGCAGGAGTACAGAGTTTGGCCTTGTGAATCATAAGGTATTTCTTATAGTGAAGAATGTAAATGCAGGACTTAGCATGATTATTACTTTGTGGTCAGGGCTTCAGTGGTATTTAGTGGCAATAGAAGTATCCTTAAAAAATTAAAAACACTTTGATGTAAAGGCAGAAAGCATGTTGTGAACTGAACCCATATTTCAGGAAACGAGTAAACTTTGATTAAGTTTTAGATTGTCGCAATATAATGTTTTAATGTGTAAAAACTAAATAAACAGCAACCAATTATCAGAATGGGAAAAAATGTTTTGTATCGGTGACTTTTTACTCACTGGAAGGCTATGATATGAAGGGAAAGGATAGTTTGGAAAACAAAATTGGATACTGTATGTGCATTTTCATAGAAAACTGATGACATTTTAAATTTCTTGCTTGATAATGAAATGAATGGGCACGTTATTTTGGATGAATACCCATAGTGTTGCTGTAAAGTGTGGCTATAATGTACTTCTCTATGCAATACGTATAACCGAGTCTTTAAGTGCTGAAAATAAAAGGGGCAACAGATGCTCTTCATAAGCATTTATTGTGAAAATTGTTTTCTGGATCACTTTTGTAGATTAAACTAAGTATTATACATTCAGAGCCAAAAATTTGTGTTCTGTATATCAAATCCTTTCTCTGTACATTGTGCTAAAGTTAAATGTTTCAAAAAGGAAAACATGACTTAAATGTGTATAGAGTATGGTGACTTGTTTTACCCTCAGCCTTCAGAACTGTATATATCTACTACAAAGAATGCAACTGCTCCACCATAAATTTTTATAGAATCAATTCTATCTTGAAGCAAGATGAATTTATAAATGTTATAATAAGAACCAATGTATCTGTGGAGAGCTAGTGTGTGTGCTGATGTCGGGAAATTGTAGTGCTCAAGTCATTACTTGACTCGGTGAGGCAGTCATGTTGCCTTCTCTCTGCAGGCACCAGTGATGACAACATGTGCATCAAAGATTTCTGTATTATTCACTAATCAAATGATTAAAATCTTCTATTTCCTCAAGTAGGTTTCACTTTTAAGAGGCAATGTACAGCTTTGTTCATAGGATATCTTTAATTTCAATGATAAATAATTATTAAACATCAATAATTTGTCTGGTATGTGTAGTTGGATTTGGTTCTCTCCCAAAGGATGATGAATTTTGTAGAATCAAATACTTTACTGTACAATCCATTTATTTTTTGTCAAGTTTACTTGTAACTTGTGAATATTGTGTTCATGGAATGTTTTTTATTGTGTAATGTATATTAATACAAGAATGCAAAAGTAAAGTTTTGCAGTTTGCTACATTTACAATGAGGGTGAAATATGCAGTAACTCTGATATACTCTTGTTGCAACACTACGGGTCTGTGGTAAGCCTCCAATATGTCTGCTGCTGTCTTGAGAGACACTACACTCAATACCAAATAGGACTTGAATTTTCATTTTATATAAACATAACTGTCAAGTAAATAATAAACGTAAGCATTTTACCTATTTTGTTTAAAAAATCCTATTACATTACAACACCAAGCCAATAAGAAACTCATTGAGAAGAAGCCATGAGCATGATTCAAACCTGCACACTGGGTACCCCCAAGAACATAGCTTAAACCACGATATGCTAAAATTAATATAACCTGGAATTCAACTGAATCCTCTTGGGCAGCAGCCCACTGGTCACCTGCGAGACAATTATATTTTCACATTGTTTATTACTGTGTAGTATTTTCTTTGTTATATTTAATAGCAGTCAAATACTTTGACTTTATTAACTAATTTCTTTTTTGGTGAACCGCGGGATTTAAAATTATGAAGTTGGTGATCTGTGAGCTCCGAAAGGTTGGCAACCGCTGCACTAGGATTCCTAAGGCAGCCTTTGGTTCCAAATTAGGGTTTTACACACTACCTGCATTAGCTCTGGCTGTGGTACACAAGCTCTAGTCCCTGATTTGGGATTTGATGATGACTCGGAAGCCCTAGAGCAATCGGTTGAATACCAGGTTACATTATATTCTATGTATCGTGGCCTAGTGATTTAGAGCATGTGCAAGTTCAAATCAGAATTATGATGCCTGATTTTCTCATTGATACATGTTAATATGATTTCTTTGTGCACTAAACCAAATTTGGCAGGGCTAATAATACTGTATTGGTTATCAGGAGAGGCCTATGATTGTGGAGCGAGTTAGTCCAACACAAAGTAAGCTAATTATTTCAAATTCATGAACCTGATCTTAATAATATCCCTTTTGACTAGCTCTCTTTAGCCTCTTTCTAGCCTATAGCTCTAATCCTACACAAGTCTACAGTGAGGGCTGCATGGATAGCTAAGGCTAGCCTACATCTAGGTCAAGCAGGTTACCGACTGCCCCAGCCACGACCCAGGGGCGTGGTGAAATGGTTAGGCACTTTTCCCATCACCTCATGTCCTTTTTCCACCTAGGAGTTAGCCAGCGTCTTGTGGGGTTGCATCCTGGGAAGAGTTAATAATTCGACCCTGGGAGGGGGGGTGGACCCGATATAAGCTTAACATATACTGAACGTATAGACTGGCTACACGTTCCCCAATGCAATGACTTATTAATTATAATTCATTGTGTCGGGAGGCAGTCAGCCAGTATAAACAGGTCATGCTTATATTTAGGTCCCTTACCTTACCCCAAAGTCGAATTACCGACCTCCCTCCAAAATGCAACCCCACAAGAAGTTAACTCCTGGGTACCAATTGCTGCTAGGTGACAGGAAATACGCCCAACTATTTATGTTCCGCCCAGGATTCGAACCCAGAATTCTCGATTATGAGTCGAGAACGAACTCGACTGAAATACTGAAGCTCGTCCTCATAAACAAAGGCCAAAGTCTATTCCATACAGCTGCCAAATCTGCCTGTTCTCATTATCAAAGGCTAAAGTCCATTCCATGCACCCACCAAACCCCCTGTTTATGAATGAAAAAAAAATATTTACACACGACTCACAACTGATGACGTTCGAACACTTCCAGAACAAGTACTTCACTGATGAATCATGTTCGAACCACAACGCTGTAAAGGCTTCACCCACGTACTACAAATACAAATAATCGCCAACAGAACCTAAACACCTAACCTAACCTAACCTATGCTTATATATGCACAATATGCTAATATATTAGTATATTAATTTATATTTGAGAAAATTCCTGACTTGAATGAACATGTTAAAATTTATGAATGCGTCTGTGGGGTTGACCGCTGGATGTAATGGATTCGAGTCGAGGACGGGTTGTCGAACCACAACACTGCAAACGCTTCACCCACGTTTTACAAATACAAATAATCGACAAAAAACCTAAACACCTAACCTAAAAACGTCATTTGCATTGACGCCAATTCGACGTCGAATCGGCGTTAAATAAACATCTATTCAAGGTTGGAATTGGTTCTAATTTAATTCACCATCAATTCGGCGTTACAACGTCGACATTTTAACGTTGCAGTGACGTTGAATTAACGTCGATTCAATGTTGAATTAACGTTCAATAAACCGATACACTAATGGCGTTTGTTCTATTTTTATTAAAAAACGACGTATGGACGTTGATTTGACGTTGATTTAATGTCGATTTGACGTTGCTCTAGCGTCGATTTCTCGTCGCACTGCTGTCAATTCGACGTCGATTTGGCAGGGAAATCAAGATTAAGGACCTACCCGTCTTGTAAGAATTATGTAAGTTCTCTTGTATAAATAGATAAATAAATAAATATAGCGCCTATTATGATACATCACACAGCTAGCCGGTCGTTTTTTCAGCGAAAACGTAATTTCTTTTATTTTTGTTATAGCTATAGAAAATAGTCAATGAATAAATCAAGAAATAAAAATGGGACCAAAAGATAACAGCGAGCATTTTCCCTCGGGCCATGACGGCTGGACGGAGTGACGTCAGAGAAGGAGGGAATTATCAAAATATGGGGCAAACGGCCAGTCGCCGGAAAAGAATCGCCACCTCGGCGAAATCGTCATTTTTCGCAAAAGTCAAAATCAAAACCAGCCATAGAATCGCTTTGAAAATACTACCATTGGATTTGCCACAACGATTTACATTTCTTTTGGTTAAGGTTTTCTTTGCTATTTTTCAATATTAAGGTCTTTACACACATATTTACCGAGATACAGCCAATTCAAATATCCAACATATCATCATGTTTTCTCAACATACTATTAAGAAAAATGAGTTGATGAGCAAGTAATAATAATTATAATGAGCTTAATAATAAATGGTTTTTAAAAATTACACATTACACACATATTTACCGAGGTACAGCCAATTCAAATATTCAACATATCATCATGTTTTCTCAACATACTATTAAGAAAAATGAGTTGATGAGCAAGTAATAATAATTATAATGAGCTTAATAATAAAGGGTTATTAAAAAATTACGCATTTTGTGTTCATTTATGTAGATATTTTTGTTTATTTCTTCAAGCTAATAATAATAATAATAACAATAATTTATTCACAAGAAGGTACAATGGGTTGGTAAGATAACATAAGATTGGTATTTGTACATTCTTGCAAAGCCACTAACAGGCAAAGCGTTTCGGGCAGGTCCTTAATCTAACATATCAGCTAAGATGAATGTCACTCTGTAGCAAGGCTTTATATCAACAAATAACTACAATATAAATTGTCAAGAGGTGATTACACTGGTAAAGATATATGTCCTAAGTACTAATATTGGGAATGTGGGTTGTACAAGATACAGTGTGAGTTTGAAGCACAAGGTATAAAACTATGAGGATGAAATCAAGTTCTTTATGTTTTTACTTTTGAATAAGGCCTAGGTTAGATTTTTTTTAATTCGTCAGGGAGTGAGTTCCAAAGACTGGGTCTTTTTATTTGCATGGAGTGTTTGCACATAGTTTGACTCTAGGGATATCAAAGAGATATTTATTTCTGGTGTGGAGCTTATGGGTTCTATTACACCTATCAAGGAAAAGTTTCAGATCAAGATTAGCATTTAGGAACAAAGTTTTGTACATGTAAACAGCACATGAGAATGTGTGGAGTGAGTGTATGTTTAGCATGTTAAGGGACTTAAACAGAGGGGCTGTGTGTTGTCTGAAAATAAGAGTTTGTTATAGTTCTGATAGTAGATTTTTGTTGAGTGATGATAGGCTTGAGGTAATTTGCAGTGGTTGAACCCCATGCACAGATACCGTATGTAAGATAAGGATAAATTAGCTCGTAGTATAATGTGAGGAGAGCAGAGTGGGGAACATAATGTCTGATTTTAGAAAGTATACCGACCGTTTATGAGACTACAAGATTACAAGAAAAGAGTACAAGAAAAGTAAAGAAAATAGCAACATAAAGATTTAGGGGGATGACAAAAAAGACAACCACAAAACTGACAAAGACTAACGCTAAAAATTGGCCTCTACAAATACCCAGCAATGAACACTTGGAAATTAAAAGCTGCAGTTCATTAAAATGAGCATAAACAGTATTTTCAATTGAATAATAGTCATCGTGAGAGATGCACACAATACTAAAGGTTATCAAGGTTAAGAGATCTGAGAAATATGGGTTAACATGGCATGGGTAACTCTTACTTATAATGTAAGTTACTACTTACTTACTTACTCTTACAATGAATGGCACGAAAGGAGGCACTGATGGAAGTAAGTAATTATCAAAAGAAGGTACCAAGCCGGGAAGGCTAGGTAACAGGCAAGGATGGAAGCTTAAGGGCAAGCATCAGTTTCTCTCTGCTTGGGGACAGAAATCCTATCGTCAACTATACTCATCTGGTCCCCCTTAGAGTGGTCAACTACTGAAAACTTTGCAAGATGCAACCCACAACAGTCGCCAAACTCCCAGGAAACAATTGACTGGTGGGCAGACAGAGGCATTATGTTAAAGGTTACATGTCTTAATGTCTCTGTCCAGCTGTGAGAAACGAACCCGGGACCTATTAGTTGTGAACAGACTGTACTGACCACTGGCCTCTGTTATGAGAATTTTTGAACGAACAGCATGTTAAAATTGATGAATGCGTCTTTGGGGTCGGCCGCTGGATGGAATGAACATATTCTGTGGACGGGATGCGATTGAGTTCAGTACAAAGCCAACTGTGCCACGAGACCCCTTAACTCTATGTGTGTTGTCATAACACACCACTACAGCACACCTGTGCTCTGGTGTGTTATGTCAATAGCGGGAGTTGTGGTGGTATATGCTATCTGGGACCTTCAGCGTTGTGGAAGGTGATTTGTACCACAGCAGTTTGTGCAACAGTCTGCTAAAAACCAACTGGTCCCAGGATCGATTATCGGGCAGAGCAAGACTTTTTTGGCACGTTTTCTTACACCTGATGCTTATGTTCACCCCAGCTTTAAATACATACCTGGAAGTTTGTCAACAGTTATGGGTTACACTTTGGAAAATGATGAGTCATTAGTGGGACGTCAATATGCCTAACAAGCTTCCTGTCCTCGACAAAGGGAAAATCATGACCAAAGTTCCACGGGCCTCCCTACCCTGACTCTGGCAGTAAGAGATGACAGGATTAGCAACTGGATTAGCAAGACACAACTGTGAACGTAACGAACCAAATCAATCTTCCTGATTTACAAATGACTCGCCTCTCCATGATAGCAACAGAAATATCGATTAAGGTGTGCTATTTGATAAGATTACGCTGCCCTGTTATCTCTGGAGCTGGCAGGAGCGCCGGAGTATGCCCTAGATTAACAGTGAGATACCATTAGTGGTGAGGTGCAGGAAGCAACCTGTGTGTCTCCTGAACTGTGAGGACGGCCGCGCATACATCAACAGGCTAGTCGCTATAGTAATCCTCGCCGCAGCCTAGTGTGGCTCAGATTGTGTATTATCGATAATGTGATGTGTGAGGGGGGTTGTGTGGCGGCCTGTGTTATTGTGGTGTGCTATATTACATGGTAATATAAGGAACCTGCAGAAAGCCTATTGGCTCATCAGGTAGAACTTGTATACATATATTCAACCAATCGTATTTATGCCTAACCTACGCTTGAAGCACTCTCACATCTACTACGTTACCTCTGTAATCTAAGACGCTATTCTCAAAGCAGTATTTACCAGACTTATCTAATTTGTTTTCATTGTTCTACGCCTGGTTTTGAGGTATCTATTTGACACAGTATTAATATTCCTCTCGTTATACCTCTTCATCTATATGTATACATCAATCACGACAACCTTCCTCTACTCCTTGCCTTTCTCGTGTGTCAACTGAGATGTCTCAATCTCTTCATCAATAAGAGAGATCTCCAATTTCTGAGATTATCCTCGTTATACTTATCTGTACACTTCAAGTGAACATGTCCATTTTAGAAATGAATTGCGTAATCTAAATTGAACATAAAATGGGCAAGATAAAGCTGAAGACTAGTATTAGATGTCTTATTATTAACACATCTAATATTAAAGCACAAATCCACAGGAGCCGTGACGTGGGTTCGAACCTATGGGCTAAGTATTCCAAGACGCGCTCTAGTCAACTGTACCACAACATGGTCATTTAACTTCTAATATTAATGCCAGTATCCATTGCGCCTGATTTTAAACATATATATACATTAATCTTTTTGGCCTAAAATTTATACTAATTGATGACAAAATAAAAGAACTACAAGATAGAAAGAACTGATAAAACTGTGTCAGGATTTTTAAACATTGGATATAAAAAGTGGAATTTGTGCCATGATAACTGCAGTAAAAGAAGAAATTCCTCAAAACAAATTCAAACAAAAGTAATTAATGAGAGGTCAGGTGAGTTATGATTAAAGGAGGATAGGACAAAGTTCTCTAGGAAGTCAGAACTAACCATATACAGACCCAACGACAAGCGCGCATAAAACCAAAGGGCCAATATACGGAATAATATTATCTAAAGGGCCAATATACGGAATAATACTATCCAAAGGGCCAATATACGGAATAATACTATCCAAAGGGCCAATATACGGAATAATACTATCCAAAGGGCCAATATACGGAATAATATTATCTAAAGGGCCAATATACGGAATAATACTATCCAAAGGGCCAATATACGGAATAATACTATCCAAAGGGCCAATATACGGAATAATACTATCCACAGGGCCAATATACGGAATAATATTATCTAAAGGGCCAATATACGGAATAATACTATCCAAAGGGCCAATATACGGAATAATACTATCCAAAGGGCCAATATACGGAATAATACTATCCAAAGGGCCAATATACGGAATAATACTATCCAAAGGGCCAATATACGGAATAATACTATCCAAAGGGCCAATATACGGAATAATACTATCCAAAGGGCCAATATACGGAATAATACTATCCAAAGGGCCAATATACGGAATAATACTATCCAAAGGGCCAATATACGGAATAATACTATCCAAAGGGCCAATATACGGAATAATACTATCTAAAGGGCCAATATACGGAATAATACTATCCAAAGGGCCAATATACGGAATAATACTATCCAAAGAACCAATATACGGAATAATACTATGTAAAATACAGGAACAATTTCTCAGACCCCTAGGAACAATGTCAAGTTTTAAATGGCTTCTATAAAAAATGCTAAAAACCTAGTAAATAAAGTTGACATTGTATCATTGTATGCATAACTGAGGTTGAAATGTTGAATGGTGTCCAATGTAAAATCGTAAAGGAACTGGTCCAAGAGCACTTGACATTCTCTATATGACTATTACCCGTCCAACGTGTACTTTCTTACCCAGTTCAGTGTCTCGCCAACTGTTCCCGCTTGTCTCTTCATCCTATACTCTAGCTGTGAGAAACAGTATCAAAGGTGTTTTTGTCCGTCTAGGAATATGCAATCAACCCAATAATGGTTTTCATTACTTGGTGACTTGACCATAACTATCAGATTTGTCATGCTCGAATTTTTTCTCCCTTTGAATGACCCCAAGTTGCTTTCAAAATTCCTTCTCTCCAAGTATTCCACTTTTCTCTTTCAAATTACTGTTCCCAGAATTTTGTAAGGAGTGCGTGCATGTACCACCAGTCTGACGTTTTGTACCGCCTGTTTATGTTAAAATAAAAAAAATTGTGACTACCATCTTTCGATATTTCTGGGAGCTCGCCAGATTGTATTATGTTGAAACCTGTTTATTAATAACAGAATCCTTAGAGACTACTTCAGCAACCACGATACCTTGTATGGTCCTGCAACTTTTGTAAAAGCTTATTACTTCATCACCAGTGACTACTCAAGCCATATCAATCCTAGGACTCTACCCTGGTTCTCTTTTGCAGACCTGGAACCTCTTGTTAAATTTCTTTCCCCGTACACACACAATGTTATATTTATATATATATTTATGTTAAATCGCTGCAACGTAAAAATGTTAATTTTAAATACACAAGAAAATAATTATCTTTACCCATCAATTAAATGATTTTTGCCATTTGAATGCGTAATTTAATATGTGATTCCAGGCAGCGTGACCACCACCCTCCCGAGCATCTGGGCGAGGAGCTGTGCCAGTGGCATCATAATCTCCCACGGGAGACGGCAAGATGTCTAAGCAAGAGAAGAGTCCCACTTCCTTCATGCAATGGGCGCCCCCTCCGCCAGCCAGGGTCTCCTCCATGCAGTAAGTTACCGTCTGTCTGCTCGCTTCACTTCTCAGAATTCTGTTCCGACTTCCCCACGAAAAACATCAGTTTTTACCGATCATTTTGTACACACACATACACACATATATATATATATATATATATATATATATATATATATATATATATATATATATATATATATATATATATATATATATATATGTCGTACACTATATCAAGGCCCGATTTGCCTAATAAGCCAAGTTTTCCTATAATATATTTACTATAATTTTTTTCTTATACCCTTTCTCTATGTATGAGGTATAATATTAACGTAGATATATGATATATATATATATATATATATATATATATATATATATATATATATATATATATATATACGACATATATATATATATATATATATATATATATATATATATATATATATATATATATATATATATATATATATATATATATATATATGTGCCTGTCTGTTCGAGGCCAGAGAAGAAAGAAGGGAGATGAGTAGGGAAGGAAGGAAAGAGGGGGAAGATAGGGAGATGGGGGTTGAGGAGGGAGGGAAGGGGGAAAGGCGAAGGGAAGGGGGAAAGGCGAGAAAGGGGGTGGGGAAGAAAAATTGAGCGGATGTGTGTGAGAGAGAGAGAGAGAGAGAGAGAGAGAGAGAGAGAGAGAGAGAGAGAGAGAGAGAAGGAGGAGGAGAGAAGAAGAAGAAGGAGAAGGAAGAAGAGAGGGAGAGGAGAGAGAGGAGGAGAGAGGAGAGAGGAGGAGGAGGAAGGAAGAAGGAGGAAGAGGAGGGAAGAAGGAAGGAAGGAGGAAGGAAGGAAGGAAGAAGGAAGGAAGGAAGGAAGGAAGGAAGGAAGGAAGGAAGGAAGGAAGGAAGGAAGGAAGGAAGGAAGGAAGGAGGGGAGGGAGGGAGGGAGGGAGGGAGGGAGGGAGGGAGGGAAGGGGAAGGAGAGAGGGGTACCCGGGCACAGCCGGTCACCTGCCAAACACGACCCCATACTCCACACACCAACAAAACTCGAACCCTTAACAATACGAGGAAACAAAACAATCCAAACTAAACCATGACAATGTACCCGATGCATCAAGACTCTTCCAAGACCACTGCCGAAGTCCGCCGCGTCGCCGCCCTTCTTCAGACCCACTTCTACGACCTGGTGACGACGTAGAGGCGAATCTAGAGTTGTACAGAACCATACCTGCGACCCGTGGAAGTATGGTTGAAGCTGCTATGTCGATCTGCACCAAACGACTCAACTTTCTTCACTATGGAGCCCATCTTGATGACAAAACAATGCTTATCCAAGTTACCATGCGTCGAAAAATCGTCGGCAACAAATCTAGGTTGACAAGTGACTGTTGAGAGCGACGGTCCTCCCCCGTGCAACGCTGCATGGTGACTGCGGCCGTGGCTGCGTGACCGCGCGTCGCTCCCTCGGGTCTCCTTTGAGTTTCTGATAAATTGTTTATATTCTCCATTGTGAGATAGACATCCATCTCACGTACGTTGGGGGATGATTTCCAATATTATTTGTAACTTCAGAATAACCTTTAAGGTTTACTACGTTGGAGGCATGCGTAAAAAGGAAGGAAAATGCATAATTAATTGATCGCCATATGGCATTATGCTTGAGCTGGGATAATAACAATTGAAATATCTCTATAACGAGACGCTATTAAAGAATTTATCTATATATAAAAAGTACCGTTATTACGAGTCGGTAACTTGTGCTAATATTGTGGCCGTTGAAGAAATTAGCGATGAAGTTAAATGAGTTAAGTTTCTACGTGGCCGATCTCCTGTTGCTAGGATACTCTGCCAAAATGTCCTCTTTAGCGCCTCTCAACTATCACCAGATGCTAAAAAAACAAACAATTAAACGCCGATTGTAATCCTGGTTCTTTCACAGAGATGTATGACTCTCTCGTGTATATTGTACACCAGCCACAGGTGTTGTACAGTGATGTACGACTCTATACTGTAACACAAGCTAGAGGTGGTGTTATACAGTGATGTACGACCCTATACTGTAACACAAGCTATAGGTGGTGTTATACAGTGATGTACGACTCTATACTGTAACACAAGCTAGAGGTGGTGTTATACAGTGATGCACGACCCTATACTGTAACACAAGCTAGAGGTGGTGTTATACAGTGATGCACGACTCTATACTGTAACACAAGCTAAACGTGGCGTGGCTGCTCATTGATACTCTTCCGAATTTGACTTCCATCCAAGCGACTAGCATTTGTTTGGGGATTTTAATCAAACGCCTCCCTTAATTAAGATGCTGTGGCCTCTGGGACCTAGATGGGGTTCTGGGTATTCTTCTACGCCCCAAGCCCGGCCTTGGGGCCATGTTTATCTTGTGATTACCTGATCTAACAAGGCTGTTGCTTGGGGAGGCTTGCAGCTTGTGACCCAATCACGCGACAGCACCAAGGAGAGTGAGCCATTTTGTTACCCTTCGTCCCTCTTTCCCTTACAGCATGGCGACTGAGAGGACGGTGGCCAGCAAGCCGCTCCCGAAGACCCCGGAGCCTCAGCGACGCATCATTCCCAGGATAAAGAACCGTCGACGCAACAAGACGCTGCCCAACATCTCCCTCCCCACCAACGTCATGCACGTCATCCACGTCTACTTCAACCCCGTCACCGGGGACCTGGAGGTTGGTTGCTGGTGTGCGTGAAGGGAGGAGAGGGGATAGGACGGTCGCGTCAGCAGGCTGGGATAGGTGGGTTCAGCTGGAACGGTATAGAAAGGGAATCCACGCGCTGGAAGTCACGTCAGGTAAGGTATTTAAGACAGGTTAAGAAGCCAGACTAGGTACGGTATCCATGCCAAGTTGGAAACCCAGATGAGGAGGCCAAGCCAGGTAAGGAGGTCAGGTCGGTCACAGAGGTCATGTGAAAGAACCAGGTTCGAGGACCAGGGAAGAGCGTCAGAAATATAAGGTAACATTCTCCAACTTCCTGATTGCATATCTTTATTAATAGAGCCTCTTATTTCCTAATGACTTCAGAGGTCTCGTGAAAACTTTAGTAACACAAAAATGACCTTAAATCACAAGCAATGAAACGAGAGGGATAAAATAAATGGAAAATTAGAGATAAATACTTAGATATATACCTAGATAGATACTTAAGATATATAGATACTTAGATAGATAAATAGACAGATAGATAGATAGAAATCCATGTAAGTAGAGAAAGAAATTCACGTGATGACTGCTCCTAGGGGTTACCGGACACAATGAAGGAGATGCTGGAGTCGTCGGCCATCACCAAGGAAGAGAAGCAGAGGAACCCAGAAGCCGTGTACCAGGCCTTGCGGTACATGCAGAACCCGCCCACCTACACCGACAAGTACATGACGCAACACGAAGGTCTCAACGGCAACCCTCACTTTCTTTACTTGCATTATTATTACAAATAATTTTCAACAGTGAATCAATGAAATGTGAAAACAAAAATTCTTGTCTATCTGCTGTTTTGTTCCCGCGCGGGGCCCCCTGGTCAGCAGCTGATGGGCCTGGCGGTACTGCTGCAACCTTTGAATAATACCTTTGTTGCTTACAGATGCCGACTACGACGACCTCCCGCCGCCCCGACCAGTCTTCCCGCAGTCTCAGACACCGTCCCCGCCCCTGCCGACCATCAGGGAGTCCAAGGAGTTCCCTCAAGCCTTGAAAGTGGTGAGTGGTTCGCTTTCTTCTGTCAGAGTCTGAGGACAAGGTCAGTGCCGTCTTCTCGTTCCCTTCCCGCCACTGGCCGCGACCTCTGAGCGAGGGAGCTGCTCTGTGTTCCTCACCCTGGGGAGGCTTGAGCCAGATTCTTCCCTTGATCTATTTTTCTCTTGATCTATTCTTCCCTTGATCTATGTTCCCCTCGATCTATTTTTCCCTTGATCTATTTTTCACTCGATCTATTCTTCCCTCGATCTATTCTTCCCTCGATCTATTCTTCCCTCGATCTATTCTATCACTGATCTATTCTTACACTGATCTATTCTTACACTGATCTATTACTTCCTTGATCTATTCCTCCCTCGATCTATTCTTACCTTGATCTATTCTTTCCCTAGTTTATTTTTTCATTAATATATTCTTCCCTTGATCTATTCTTCAACTGATCTATTCTTTCTTTGACTTATTCTTCCATTGATCTATTCTATCTGGATCCATTCTTTCATTGATCCATTTTTTTCTTGATGTATTGGGATAGACTTGTGAGCATGTGGATAATGTGGATAATAAGTTGGCACAGAGAGAGAGAAATCACTCTAACGTGACGTATCACTGAGAAAATCCAGCGCATAGGTTCGAATCTGCATCACAGCTCCTCTGGATCTTCTCAATTTAGTTGGTGTTCGTCACAGTGTTTTCCCCGTACAGGCGACGGATTCCCGCGACCCGCCGCCGCCTCCAGTACCCGCCAGACCAGAGAGAACGAAGTCTATCTACACGAAGCCCGCAGACCAGACTGACGGCCTGCCAGCTCCCTCCAGGTATGTTGCGACCTGGGGGCCTCCAGGTATGTTGTGACCTGGGGCCTCCAGGTATGTTGCGACCTGGGGGCCTCCAGGTATGTTGTGACCTGGGGGCCTCCAGGTATGTTGCGACCTGGGGGCCTCCAGGTATGTTACGACCTGGGGGCCTCCAGGTATGTTGTGACCTGGGGGCCTCCAGGTTTGTTGTGACCTGGGGGCCTCCAGGTATGTTGCGACCTGGGGGCCTCCAGGTATGTTGCGACCTGGGGGCCTCCAGGTATGTTGCAACCTGGGGGCCTCCAGGTATGTTGCGACCTGGGGGCCTCCAGGTATGTTGCGACCTGGGGGCCTCCAGGTATGTTGTGACCTGGGGCCTCCAGGTATGTTGTGACCTGGGGGCCCTAGGTATGTTGTGACCTGGGGCCTCCAGGTATGTTGTGACCTGGGGCCCCTAGGTATGTTGTGACCTGGGGGCCCAAAGGTATGTTGTGACCTAGGGACCCAGGCTGTCACCCTCCCAGCTTCTTCGATACCTCATGACCGTTAATCTCATTCCCGTGACCTCTGACCTCGTCCACAGGTTCCTCGTGACCTTTGTCACAATTCCTCACAAGCCTTCACTCTGTTAACCAAATGACCAATATAAACACTATTCCTGTACACTCAATGATCCCCCCCCCACACACAGTAGAACCCAACCACTTGGGCTGGACGGTAGAGCGACGGTCTCGCTTCATGCTGGTCGGGGTGTTCAATCCCCGACCGTTCAAGTGGTTGGGCACCATTCCTTCCCCCCCCCCCCCGTCCCATCCCAAATCATTATCCTGACCCCTTCTGCTATATAGTCGTAATAGCTTGGCGCGTTCTCCTTATAGGTCCTTTCCCTTACCCATAGTAGTTAAATATTTGACTAAAACTGACATATATGAAAGTTGTAATAATTTTTTTGGGGGGGAGGGTTGTGACTGATGATTTAAGATGTTGACCAGACCACGCACTAGAAGGTGAAGGGACGACGACGTTTCGGTCCGTCCTGGACCATTCTCAAGTTGATTGTCTTAACCATCGTCGATTGTCGAGACAATCGACTTGAGAATGGTCCAGGACGGACCGAAACGTCGTCGTCCCTTTCACCTTTTTTTTTTTTTTGAGATATATACAAGAGTTGTTACATTCTTGTACAGCCACTAGTACGCGTAGCGTTTCGGGCAAGTCCTTAATCCTATGGTCCCTGGAATACGATCCCCTGCCGCGAAGAATCGTTTTTTCATCCAAGTACACATTTTACGGTTGCGTTAAACAGAGGCTACAGTTAAGGAATTGCGCCCAGTAAATCCTCCCCGGCCAGGATACGAACCCATGACATAGCGCTCGCGGAACGCCAGGCGAGTGTCTTACCACTACACCACGGAGACCGCCTTCTAGTGCGTGGTCTGGTCAACATACTTCAGCCACGTTATTGTGACTCGTCGCCTGCTGATGATTTAAGAGTTGAGTTTGATGCTATGTTATGTTACCCCGGCAGGCCCCTAAGTGCGGGGGAGGTGGTGGTGGCGGAGGTCGGCCGGCAAGAGACCCCGGCCAAGGCCAACAAGCGGGAACAGTTGGCTGAGACGCTGACCAAACTTCGTCAGCTGGTGAATGTGGGTGACCCAAGACTGAGGTACAACCTCATGAGTAAGATTGGCCAGGGGTGAGTACAGGGGGTGAGTTTATAGTTTTAAGTTTGGTTTCATTTAGCTGTATATGTAAACAAATCCACAAGGGCCGTGACGAGGATTCGAACCTGCGTCCGAGAACATCCCAGACACTGTCTTAATCGACTGAGCTACGACAGGGTTAAAATGTAACTTACAGGGTTTATATGTAACTTAACCCTGCTGAATATAGCATTTTTCATTCATCATATTTAACATTAACAGGTTTCACAGTCATCAAATTTTTTTTTTTTAAATACTTAGGCCTATTGTATAATTATTGCACGTGATAGCGGAACATTCAGTACTAAGGGAGGGTAGAAATAGCCTAAAGTACTCAATTCCTTTAAGATGTATTTTCTTGTCTCAATAAACAAACTTGAACTTCAGTACTAAAGTTAAGTGATTCAGATCAGGCTTTAGGTAGTGTATGTACTAGCTCTACCTATAAATCCAACATTATGTTTGTAACGCTTCATCCATGTATGTACTCTTACCTGAATTTGAATTTGAATTTGAATTAAAGTGTGCTTGAAACCCATGTTTCAAGCGCGGGTTGGACAAGTATATGAGTGGGATTGGGTGGTTATAAATAGGAGCTGCCTCGTATGGGCCAATAGGCCTTCTGCAGTTGCCTTTGTTCTAATGTTCTTATGTGACTATGCGCGCGCAGGGCGTCAGGCGCGGTGCACACGGCTATGGACGTGAAGACCGGGGCTCTGGTGGCGGTCAAACAGATGGCCCTCCTGAAGCAGCCTCGTCCCGCTCTCATCATCAACGAGATCCTCGTCATGAGATGCAGTCAGCATCCCAACATCGTCAATTATATCGACTCTTATCTCGTTAACGACGAACTCTGGGTATGTTGTTAACGGCGCGGTGTAGGGGTGGTCTGATGGGCTCGTTACTAACAACGCGCTCTGGGTAAGTTACTGATAACTGGTTCTTGTTACGTTACTAATGACGTGTGGTCTGGGTACGTCACAGCGTCACTGCCCTGCCCCCCCACACCCTGTGGGATACCACAGGATGGGGGGGGGGGGGGCCACAGGAATACCACATTTGCTCCCATGGGAATGGGAAGTCTCAAAGATCTCGGGCTCACCATAGCCCGTGCTACTTGGAACTTTTTGTTCCAAGTAGCGAATCTTAAACAACAGCAAAATCTTAAAGAAAACTTTACTATGATATCTATGTCATCTATGTCCGAAAACTCGGACATCTGTGTCTATACAAATCATTCACCCACAAAATAAAGATTTGTTCTATTTCTCAAATGATCTTCTAGATCTAAGTTACTAAGTCACGATAGAATGTAGACGATGAGTCACAATGACGGGGCTGAAGAACTGATGACCAAACCGAAACTCAGAAGATGAAGAGACGACGACGTTTCGGTCCGTCTTGGACCATTATCAAGTCGGTGATCATTCTATTGATCGAACTATTGATCATTAATGATCCAGGACGGACCGAGTCTATTGATCATCACAATAGAATGTATCTAATGCATGTATAACCTACTGTTAAGTCGTCGCCATTACTCAATAGATCAGTAGAACATTATTAAGCAAATCAGTAAGAGGTCTTGGGCAGGTTAATGGCATCTGGGGAAGTGCCATACAAGACCCGTTCTCTCGATCTGTCACTCCGTTAAAAATGCAACTCTTTTTGCCTCATAAGAAACGTACGCACCGAAGCAACCCACCTAACCCATCGAGACCAATGCACAGAAAACGTTAATTTTACGGTGCTTTAGTTTTAACCAACAGATTGCCTTTTTAACGAATTTGTCGATTCCGTTAAAAATGAGAGGACGGGTTGTGGTATGATAACTGGCCCGTCACTTGGTCAGCAACGTGGGTTATCTTGAGGTTATCTAAGCTCAGTTATCTAAAGTTAGTTCTCTATAAGTTATCTAAACTCTGCCCATTGTTGGGCAGTTTCTTTCACCCTATGCCCCTGTTACCCAGAGTTGGGTGTGGTGAGTGAGTGGATGGGTGAGCGCGCGAAAGTGCTGCCCTTGGCCAGGTAGGGGAGAGAGGGAGGGAGGGAGAAGGAGGGAAAGCGCCATGCCATTACGACTATATAGCCCTTGGAAGGGGGGGGGGGGTCACGCAGGGTGCAGTCACACCTCCACAGGTCTCCAGTATCAGCTCTTGATACTGGTAATGGCTCAAAAAGGGCCACCACTTACGGGCTATTCATGCCCGTGCCACCTTTTGGGTGGAATGAATCAGGATAAGGATTTGGGATGGGACGGTGGGAAGGAATGGTGTCCAACCACTACACACAGAAATCACAATTGCGTGATGCACTAAATGAACAAATCCACAAGGACCGTGACGAGGATTCGAACCTGCGTATGGGATGCTCTCGGACGTAGGTTCGAATATTCGTCACGGCCCTTGTGGATTTGTGCCCAACCACTTGGACGGTCGGGGGTATTGAACGCCGACCCGCATGAAGCGAGACGGTCGCTCTACCGTCCAGCCCAAATGGTTGGGAGAGTGAGAGTGAGAGGTAGAGAGGAGAGTGAGAGGAAGAAAGGAGAGTGAGAGTGAGTGTTGCCAACAGGTGATCATGGAGTACCTAGAAGGCGGCCCCCTTACCAACGTCGTCACCGAGACCTGCATGGAAGAAGGACATATCGCTGCTCTCTGCAGGTAAGCTCAAAAATCTCTCCACTTTCAACCAGTTCTAACACTTAATGCATCGTAATATTACCTCTGTCGACCACAGTTTAAAATTCTAGTGTGAGCGGATATAATAATTACTCAGAAAATAATTGTTGTGATAATTAATATTATTATAATTCTGAACAACGTGTCGTACTGTTCAATATAACATAACGGTGAGTGTAACACGCTCGTTTTATTCATCCTACTGGCCCGCAGGGAAGTGCTTCAGGCGTTGGAGTTTCTACACGAGAGGAGCGTAATCCACCGAGATATTAAATCAGACAATGTTCTCCTAGGCATGCACGGTGAAATAAAAATAAGTAAGTTCTCCCTCTAAACTATTTACATGAGGCTTCGTTTTCTCTAGTATAAAAGTCTAGTAACTGTTAGTCTTCAGTCTTCCCTTTTAATTCACGTTGTGTGTGCGTGTGTGTGTGCTTGGCGGGTTGAACTCTGGCTCTCTGGTCCCGCCTCTCAATTGTCAATCAACTGATGTACAGATTCCTGAGCCTACTGGGCTCTATCATATCTACATTTGAAACTGTGTATGGAGTCAGCCTCCACCACATCACTGCCTAATGCATTCCACCTGTTAACTACTCTGACACTGAAAAAGTTCTTTCTAACATCCCTGTGGCTCGTTTGGGTACTCAGTCTCCACCTGTGTCCCCTTGTTCACGTTCCACCCGAGTGTGTGTGTTGTTGTAATAAATATTTTTAAATATTCAAACACGATAGCAAAATATGTATGATAGCAACACCCATGATAAAAATGTAGTCTACCAAAAAACTTAAATAATTACTTTTAAAACCAAACGCTTACTTTCCAACTATAAAATCCTTCCCATAAATATCAGCAGTAAAACCATTTTTACAGTATACCTAAGCCTATTGAACTAGTAATGTGAACTATTAAATATTATCTTGTAATAATTACTACTACTTTCACTATCTATGTATCTCTGTAACTATATCTTGTCAGTATATAATATATATGTGAATTTTCAGTCGCATATAGTCCTTGGGACCATTCAGGCTTCAGGCTTGTTCGCTATATATATATATATATATATATATATATATATATATATATATATATATATATATATATACTCACCAAGATATAGGCTCAGTGTATATACATTATGGGTGTAATCAGGTCACTGAAACGTTAACTTTTTGCAGCGGACTTCGGGTTCTGCGCTCAGCTCTCGCAGGAGAGAACACAGAGGACCACGATGGTGGGAACGCCCTATTGGATGGCCCCGGAGCTCGTCAGTCAGAAACAGTACGGGCCTAAGATCGATATTTGGTCTCTTGGCATCATGGCTATTGAAATGCTCGATGGTGAGTTAAACACACACACACACACACACACACACACACACACACACACACACACACACACACACACACACACACACACACACACACACACACACACACCATTATAACTATCTCCTGTGTTCACATAAAAAATTGCTTACATACATACGAGTTATGAATGCAACCACTGATCCAAATATGCGGAAAAGCCACATTTAAAATATTAAAGAATGCTGAACGCATTTTCGATTCGCCTTCATTAGCGCATTTTCAATTCGCCTTTATCAGAGCAAGATAGCACTATCGTGCTCTGATGAAGGCGAATTGAGCCGAAAACGCGTTCAGCATTCTTTAATTTTCCAGACGTGGTTATTCCGCAAGAGTTATGATAAATTAGTGTTGAGAATCTGTGATATATTTTGAAGGAGAACCGCCGTATATGAAGGAGGACCCGGTCAGGGCCCTCTACCTCATCACCGCCAATGGCAAGCCCGAGATCAAGCAGCGGGACACGCTGTCGCCGCCCTTCAAGGACTTCCTCGACAAGTGCCTCGAAGTAGATGTTCCCAAGAGACCCTCGGCCAAGAAACTCCTTCAAGTAAGTCACCCTTCGAGAGCTCATATGTGAGTCGTACACAATATGTAGTGACGTAGTATGTGAGGAGATCTTGGGAGTTGTGTGGGTGGAAACGAGGCGTCTGGGCCACCCCTAGACGCACGTCTGGGCCACCCCTAGACGCACGTCTGGGCCACCCCTAGACGCACGTCTGGGCCACCCCTAGACGCACGTCTGGGCCACCCCTAGACGCACGTCTGGGCCACCCCTAGACGCACGTCTGGGCCACCCCTAGACGCACGTCTGGGCCACCCCTAGACGCACGTCTGGACCACCCCTAGACGCACGTCTGGGCCACACCTAGACGCACGTCTGGGCCACCCCTAGACGCACGTCTGGGCCACCCCTAGACGCACGTCTGGGCCACCCCTAGACGAACGTCTGGGCCACCCCTAGACGCACGTCTGGGCCACCCCTAGACGCACGTCTGGGCCAACCCTAGACGCACGTCTGGACCACCCCTAGACGCACGTCTGGGCCACCCCTAGACGCACGTCTGGGCCAACCCTAGACGCACGTCTGGACCACCCCTAGACGCACGTCTGGACCACCCCTAGACGCACGTCTGGGCCACCCCTAGACGCACGTCTGGACCACCCCTAGACGCACGTCTGGACCACCCCTAGACGCACGTCTGGACCACCCCTAGACGCACGTCTGGACCACCCCTAGACGCACGTCTGGGCCACCCCTAGACGCACGTCTGGACCACCCCTAGACGCACGTCTGGACCACCCCTAGACGCACGTCTGGACCACCCCTAGACGCACGTCTGGGCCACCCCTAGACGCACGTCTGGGCCATCCCTAGACGCACGTCTGGACCAACCCTAGACGCACGTCTGGACCAACCCTAGACGCACGTCTGGGCCAGCCCTAGACGCACGTCTGGACCACCCCTAGACGCACGTCTGGACCACCCCTAGACGCACGTCTGGACCACCCCTAGACGCACGTTTGGGCCACCCCTAGACGCACGTCTGGACCACCCCTAGACGCACGTCTGGGCCACCCCTAGACGCACGTTTGGGCCACCCCTAGACGCACGTCTGGGCCACCCCTAGACGCACGTTTGGGCCACCCTAGACGCACGTTTGGGCCACCCCTAGACGCACGTCTGGGCCACCCTAGACGCACGTCTGGGCCAACCCTAGACGCACGTTTGGGCCACCCTAGACGCACGTTTGGGCCACCCTAGACGCACGTTTGGGCCACCCCTAGACGCACGTCTGGGCCACCCTAGACGCACGTCTGGGCCAACCCTAGACGCACGTCTGGACCACCCCTAGACGCACGTCTGGACCACCCCTAGACGCACGTCTGGACCACCCCTAGACGCACGTCTGGGCCACCCCTAGACGCACGTCTGGACCACCCCTAGACGCACGTCTGGACCACCCCTAGACGCACGTCTGGACCACCCCTAGACGCACGTTTGGGCCACCCCTAGACGCACGTCTGGACCACCCCTAGACGCACGTCTGGGCCACCCCTAGACGCACGTTTGGGCCACCCCTAGACGCACGTTTGGGCCACCCTAGACGCACGTTTGGGCCACCCTAGACGCACGTCTGGGCCAACCCTAGACGCACGTTTGGGCCACCCTAGACGCACGTCTGGGCCAACCCTAGACGCACGTTTGGGCCACCCTAGACGCACGTTTGGGCCACCCCTAGACGCACGTCTGGACCACCCCTAGACGCACGTCTGGGCCACCCCTAGACGCACGTTTGGGCCACCCTAGACGCACGTTTGGGCCACCCTAGACGCACGTTTGGGCCACCCTAGACGCACGTTTGGGCCACCCCTAGACGCACGTCTGGGCCAACCCTAGACGCACGTTTGGGCCAACCCTAGACGCACGTCTGGGCCACCCCTAGACGCACGTCTGGACCACCCCTAGACGCACGTTTGGGCCACCCTAGACGCACGTTTGGGCCACCCTAGACGCACGTTTGGGCCACCCCTAGTCGATATGCTACAAAAGTAATAACGTTTGTCGCCTTCTTTTGATAATTACTGACTTACTTAAGATTGATTGATAAAGATTAAGCCACCCAAGAGGTGGCACGGGCATGAATAGCCCGTAAGGACTTACCAAAACAATGTTACCTGGGATTTAACCAAATCCTCTTGGGGTTCCTAAGGTATCATGCTGATACCAAATCAGGATTTCACACATTAATCCCTAATCCACTCTGGTGTGGCATAGGAGTACTCCCTCCAACACTTATATCCTCCTTGATTTAGGATCAGAACATTTACCTCAGGAACCCTAGTGGGTTCAGGTAAATCCCAGGTTACGTCCCTGGGAGCCGGTCGGCCGAGCGGACAGCACACTGGACTTGTGATCCTGTGGTCCTGGGTTCGATCCCAGGCGCCGGCGAGAAACAATGGGCAAAGTTTCTTTCACCCTATGCCTCCCTATTTTACCTAGCAGTAAAATAGGTACCTGGGTGTTAGTCAGCTGTCACGGGCTGCTTCCTGGGGGTGGAGGCCTGGTCGAGGACCGGGCTGCGGGGACACTAAAGCCCCGAAATCATCTCAAGATAACCTCAAGATACGTGACTTTTAGCATATCGTGGCTTAGTGGTTTAGGGTGTGTGCTGGGGAATACACAGTGTGTGTGCGGGTTCGAATCCTCCTCCTCAGGGCTGCTACTGATTTTCTCATTAATACATCACGTTAATAGGATTTGTTTGTGCGTTAGTAGTAGTACTGTTATCACCAGTAACACCACCATCACTACCACAATCCCCACCAGTAACACCACCATCACTACCACAATCCCCACCAGTAACACCACCATCACTACCACAATCCCCACCAGTAACACCACCATCACCACTATCCCCACCAGTAACACCACCATCACTACCACAATCCCCACCAGTAACACCACCATCACCACTATCCCCACCAGTAACACCACCATCACTACCACAATCCCCACCAGTAACACCACCATCACTACCACAATCCCCACCAGTAACACCACCATCACTACCACAATCCCCACCAGTAACACCACCATCACTACCACAATCCCCACCAGTAACACCACCATCACCACCAGTAACACCACCATCACTACCACAATCCCCACCAGTAACACCACCATCACCACCAGTAACACCACCATCACTACCACAATCCCCACCAGTAACACCACCATCACTACCACAATCCCCACCAGTAACACCACCATCACTACCACAATCCCCACCAGTAATACCACCATCACCACTATCCCCACCAATAACACCACCATCACTACCACAATCCCCACCAGTAATACCACCATAATCCTCACCAGTAACGCACCAACACCACCACCAGTAACACCACCATCACCACCACCAGTAACACCACCATCACTACCACCACCAGTAACACCACCTCCAACAATAATAACGTTATCTGTCCCTACAGCACCCGTTCCTGAAGATGGCGGTGCCGCTCGTGTCCCTGCGGCCACTCATCAAGGCCGCCAAGGACGCTCTGGGGCTCCACTCTGACTCCAACTTCGTGTAACCAACGGGCCGGACCTCGAACTCCTGGAAGGTGAAGGCGACAAAGTCCAGCAGATGGGTTTTGTTAGTAGGGTCGGGAGCGCCTCTCTCAGGGGGCGCCTCTCTCAAGGGGGCGCCTCTCTCAAGGGGCGCCTCTCTCATGGGTGCCTCTCCGGGAAAAACTGAGTCATCGTAGAGATTCTCCCGATATCGTAGAGATCCTCCAGTCATCGTAGAGATCCTCCTGATATCGTAGAGATCCTCCAGTCATCGTAGAGATCCTCCAGTCATCGTAGAGATCCTCCCGATATCGTAGAGATCCTCCAGTCATCGTAGAGATCCTCCAGTCATCGTAGAGATCCTCCCGATATCGTAGAGATCCTCCCGATATCGTAGAGATCCTCCAGTCATCGTAGAGATCCTCCAGTTATCGTAGAGATCCTCCAGTCATCGCAGAGATCCTCCCGACATCGTAGAGATCCTCCAGTCATCATAGAGGTGCTCAAGTCATCGTAGAAGTGCTCAAGTCATCGTTGAATTGAATATAAAATAATTGTAAAACGCCAACAGTGTTATTTCAATATCCTATTAACAATGCTTGGCTCCAGGGCTGATATACACATTAAACTGTGTATTTAGCTTATCAAGACTCTAACTGTACTGGCGAGAGCAATTTTAAAGTTCAGTTCCTGAGCCCAATTTTGTGCCTATTAAAGAATATACATTGTACGAATTACCTGACATGAAATTACAAGTTTAATACATACTTTCATACTATTTACAAGGTAAACTAGTTTGACTGTAACCCCATATAACTTGGAAGGGGTCATATGGGGTTCAGGAGCTAAGACATGAAGACGGAGTGAAGGAAGCGATGCCAAATCAATTGGGCCACTGGGGATCGAACGCCGACTCTGTAAGCATCGAGGACGTCGCTGTATCCACCAATCTGAGCGGCTGGACTGGATGCCATGGTCCAGGTATTAGCGGACTGGAGGGTTGGCACTGGTTATCAAGAGAGATATCCCGTAGTAGAGGTGGTTGAACTGGTAGGAGAGGTTTAACCACCATTAATAGCCGTGGTAGGAATACTATGCTAGTAGTAGTAGTGGTGGTGGTGGTATAACTAGTAACAGTAGTTATATTACTAGTATCAATGATGGTAGTGCAACTAGCATAGCAGTGCTAGCAGTAGTTATAATATAAAACTAGAGTAGAGTGACTAATTGAGTAAGAAGCAGTAAGGCACAGAGCTTAACAGCCAGTCAAGAAACATGTTTCAAAATGTTAATTGGAACACAATTTCGACAAGAGAAACCGAAGCTAACGGAAACTAACGGAAACAAGAAGGTTCGATAGAAGCCTAACGTGTATGAATACACTCTGGCTTCCTGTCCCCCCCGACACAATGAATTATTATTAATACATGTAATTTGTGTTCAATATAATTTCACAATTACATCTAAAGAACAATAATTAAATTTTTCTTCAATATATATATCTGTGATGGAACAGAGAACAGGTATCTATTAATCTTTTGAGAGATTGAGTAGTCAATTAATGTTTAGGCAACTAATTGTTTATATGATTTGTTGTGAATTTTAAATTGTAAAAATATTTTTAAATGAATTTTAAAAATTAGGCTGCAAACCCCGTATTTACACGGAAGGGTTAGCAGGCTGGAGCCGCGGGAGACGGGAGCGCTGCGCGCCCGCCCTTCCCCAGTGGCGTCTGGCGGAGGTCTGTCGGGCGCTGCTTGGCGGGCCCTACTGCTAGGGACCTTGCGCGGGGAGTTACGCCCCTTTCTACCCCGGCCCCGCCTTCCATCCATTGTGCGCCAATCACATTGTTTCCCGCTCATTGTACACCAATCAAATTGTTTGCTGTCATCAATTCACGCGTTGATTGGCGGACAATGCGCAGATGACACCTGAGTGGCTGGGATTCCGCGCGCATGGCAAAAGGCGATTTGACAGGCGGGAAAAGTCGCCCATGCTTCAAAGAATGAGTGCAAAATGGCTTGAAAAGAAATAGTGTTATACCTATTCTTTTGTTCGACGTAAATGACGAGCGCCTGGCCGAACTCACCAAAAGTGTAAGTATCAACAGCGGTGCAGGAGGGCCGGATCGCACCACAGCTGGGGAGTGGAGGAGACACCTGTTTGGTGCAAGGAAGGTCCAGGAGGACACACTCAGCAGGTGTCACGAGGTGAGTACCGCTACCAGTTGTCCTTATCTGCCTCCCCCGCCGCCTGCCGTCGCCACCAGGCAAGAGGAAGAGGGTATTGTGCCAACGATGCCCCGAGGCCTTGTAGTGTGGGGGGTGAGGAGGGTGTGTGTGTATAATTAAAGGTAATTCACATGTGTTTCACGTCGGCTGGTGCAGACTGACTGATATATGGCGCCTGTCTTCTTATCGTCCACCCAAGGCCAAACAGTGAAACGGAAGTGAGACAATTGAACAGTCCTGATACGTTCATTATAGTGCAAAGCGTCTCGATATATTGAAAACATGGTCTTAATACCACGGGAGCTTGGAGACTGGCTTGAAATGCTTCACCGCTAGTTGGTTAGCGCTCAATGATGGAACTAACCTTGATAATAGAGACAAAATTTCACTAGGTGCTCTTCTACGTGTAAAGAAGTGAAATTAGCATAAATATGTTAATCAATATTGATTATGTTAAGCAATATTGTATAAAGTGAACATAAAGAGCAAACAGTCAGAACTTGACAGGAGACTGTAAGAAAATGTTGTAAACTTATGTTAACATGCAAAATCATCATATTAATTTACGTAATTATTTCTCAATGCAAATTCATTATCCACAAGCACGCACGCACGCACACGCACGCACACACACATACACATATATATATGTGTGTGTGTAAATTGGTCACTTTTTGTTCAATGGTGAAGTATTCAGTGATTTTGATCCTGCTTCCATAAAAATATCAACCAGAAAGAATTACTAAATAACAAGACCTAAATGGTGGTTATCTTAAAGGCGTATTGCGTTACTTTCTATAAAAAAAAACAGCAAATTATATTTTCTTGCAATGTGTCAGAATATAATTGGTGGTTTTAGTGGAAAGTGAGATATTATGGTGCTGGCCAGACTCTCTTGTCTTGTGTGAATATCTTCAGTGTCGTCTTTTATGGACGTGATTTGTTTGTCTTTTGTTTATGTCTTCTGTTTGTGTGCTTTGTTTATGTCTTCTGTTTGTGTGCTTTGTTTATGTGTTTTGTTGATTTTTTTGTCTGTGTCTTTTTGTTCACTTCTTTTGTTTGTGTGCTTTGTTTATGTATTTTGTTTACTTCTTATGTCTGTCTTTTGTTTACTTCTTTTGTTTGTCTTTTGTCAAGGAGCTTTGTTTATATCTTTACAAAACCCGTAGCACTAATGACGTGGTCAATCCGTAATCAGTTCTGTTGACCGACACTGACAAAAATGGCCGCGCAATGCTATTAAACAATTTCAACACAATCCCTCTCTGTATATAAAAGGACCACAAACTAGTAGGTTTAGGCTCATCACCCTTTCTCTCGCCTAAAACTTTTTTTTTTTTGTACCGAATTGACCAATCCGTTAAAAAAAACTTTTGCATTATTAACGGAGCGGCAAATTGAAAGAATCAATCGGGTGTAAGCTAGGCTATTGGAAGGAGAACGCTCAAAGCTTGCTTACAAGAGACAGAACTCATCTACTCTGGTTATGGTGACAATAATGGCACCACAGTATAGTGGTGGCCATAGTATCAACAACGACAACCCTAGGAAACGTACCCGAACGTCTCTGTCCCATCGCGGAAAACATTCGCTGGCCCAGTCCTCCATAGTAAACAAACCCGGCCCGACATAGCGTGTCAAATGTTGTCCAAACAATTGGTACACAGTAGACCTATAGTACGTTACAGCCAAGTGTTGAACATGAGCTATGTGTTAACTCTGTTTAATAATGTTACCTAACTTTAGGGAGCCGGTCGGCCGAGCGGATAGCACACTGGACTTGTGATCCTGTGGTCCTGGGTTCGATCCCAGGCGCCGGCGAGAAACAATGGGCAGAGTTTCTTTCACCCTATGCCCCTGTTACCTAGCAGTAAAATAGGTACCTGGGTGTTAGTCAGCTGTCACGGGCTGCTTCCTGCGGGTGGAGGCCTGGTCGAGGACCGGGCCGCGGGGACACTAAAGCCCCGAAATCATCTCAAGATAACCTCTCAAGATAACATTATGGGGGGGGGCACCAGGGGCTCCGGTGGCCCCCCCATATTCCCTACACATTCATATCCAATTTTCGCTTGATATTTAATAGGATACAAAATACATTTCCCATCACAACTGTTAATATTGGCTTTCTTTGAGTCAGTAAAACTCATGACATGAATATTGTTGTATTTTACTTGCCTGGCGCCATTGTTCTATTTTTTGTTTGTTTTGTCTTTGTTCTTCGTGTCTCCACTTCTCTTTATGTTAGCAGCTCTTTGCCTGTCCACTTTGACTAATCGGTACAGCGACGATTTCGCTTCCTGCAGGGTCGGGGTTCGATTCCCGATGGCCCTAAGTGGATGGGCACCGTTCCTTCACCCCGTCCTCACATCCCAGCTCCTTGTTCTCGTACTCCAGCTCCTGGTCCTTGTCGCGCTGGTTTAGCGCTTTCTTCTGATAATTCTCTTCTTCTATTTCTCTACTTTATAAGAGAAATAGATTTATTAGATATAATATATTTCTTTATATTTAAAGTAGATAATTAATGCGCCAATATGTACCTTTATTACTTTGCTTATATAACTTTTTCGTAAGTTTTTCAATGCAAAAAAAACTTACATTTACATTAATTCTCTTCAAACTAAATTGTTTCGTTTTTGTTTCTTTCTTTGCTTCTTTTAGAAGATATTTGCTTCTTTCCAGTCCTCTAGAGAGAGAGAAGTAGCAAGTGTTGACTGAGACAAGAGGAGACACAAGAGCCAGGTATCAGGCGAGACAAGAGGGGACACAAGAGCCAGGTGTCAGGCGAGAGAAGAGGGGACACAAGAGCCAGGTATCAGGCGAGACAAGAGGGGACACAAGAGGCAGGTATCAGGCGAGACAAGAGGGGTCACAAGAGCCAGGTATCAGGCGAGACAAGAGGTGACACAAGAGCCAGGTATCAGGCGAGACAAGAGGGGACACAAGAGCCAGGTATCAGGCGAGACAAGAGGGGAGACAAGAGCCAGGTATCAGGCGAGACAAGAGGGGACACAAGAGCCAGGTATCAGGCGAGACAAGAGGGGACACAAGAGCCAAGTATCAGGCGAGGCAAGAGGGGACACAAGAGGCAGTAACAGCAAGGAGAATAGAGCTTAAGTCGTCGACGGGTACCTTACAGTACACAGTAAGATGCCTTACTCTGGAAACTGGTGACTGATCACAGCTCCAGAGAAGAGGAAAGTGTTTAAGAAGAAGATTAACCTTAAAATATATTATTAAACACAATTTAAAACACCATGAATTTAACAATTTCCACCCAACGACATAGAGAAGAAATCACTTTGTAAACACATACGACAATATAAGATTGCAACGCTAT